GTTTTCCTTGATACAGATGGGCCAGACAGGGCTTCGTAGGAGCAATTATACTCGCGCTTGCGACGCTTGCACGCACCACAAGGGTTTTGGCGATCGCATCGCAACTTAGAGCGTCGGCATTCCTCGCAATTGACAGCTTTGCGCTTTCGCCGAAGAAATCCGGGGACTTGCTGGATGGCACCGTTGTGGGCCAAGTTATTGCCTAACATTTTCTGTGTAAGGAACGAGGATAAACAAGAGGCTTAGTTAACTTTTAGGATAAAAATCCGAGACGGAAATTCTTGGTCGGAGATGGCATTCATTGAATCATCAATCATTGCCACAAAGAAGATCGGATCCCGATGTACGCCCGATGGCGGAGAAGATCGGCGAAAGAAGTTCCCGATATTTCACGGGAGAGATGAACTTATATGCGGCTACCTTCCCCTTAGAACCGAACAGATCAGATCAACTCTTCCATTCCGCCCATGTTAAAGGATTGTGTAAGCTTGGATATATCCGTAAGGCTTAATGGAGCGCATATTGACCAGTTCATGGCTTCATATTGTCCATTTAGTCCAGGTCACATGATTGTGTAAAATTACCAATACCGGAGAATACTAACAATGCCATATAGCTGACTATATGTATGGGTCTCTGGCGAAGAAAGCCGAAGAGTGAGAAATCTCTCAGCGTTGGTGTACGGAACAGATCTATGTATGTCGCTGAACCGGATGCTTATGAACACTTTCGACCGTTTTGTTGTGATGGGTTGCATGAAGTTAATCCACTCAAGTCCGATTGATCGGAGATAGAGGCGAGCGGATCGGAGGTGTTATGACTATAAAATGTTGGTGTCGTTATTTTCTTTGGGGATTCCTCACCATCTTAGAAGCCCATAATCTTCTGTCCCTTCTGTCACGCAGGAGCTACCAGCAATGGAGGCATATCTCCAGTACCAACGGATTCGGAAATCCGTGCAACAGCACTTGGCAGAGCTGAAAGATAATTGCAGCTGTCCGAGCTACCCTATCGGCGCTCATCATGGCCCCAAGTAAGTCTTGGAGAAAATGTAATTAGGCTTGCAACTGTCTAACAGAACACCATGTAGCTGCAAACTGAGCGGCTATTGCAGTACCCAGGAGAAAAGACCTACCGAATCGATGGCCCCTGACGCTGCGATTCTTGTGGACTGGGACGGACAAGATGATCCTTTGAACCCCGCAAATCAGAGTACATCGCGGAAGCTCTTCATGACCTTCTTGGTCTCATTGATTGCAGTGGCCGTAACTGCTGCATCGGCGATCGATGCTTGTGGAGTCAAGGAGTATAGCCAATACTTCCACGTATCGGAAGTTGTTGGGTCTCTAGCGACAGGTATGGCGTCTTCTCTCTGGAATCTATTATAGCAAAGAGCTGAACTCCTCATGTCTCTGAATAGGTCTGTTCCTTATCGGATTTGCATTTGGTTCCCTTCTCTCGGGCCCTTTCTCAGAAACCTTCGGGCGTAATGCCATATATTCAACAACAATGCTCCTCTTCTTAGTCTTCGTCATGGCATCAGGACTAGCCCCAAACCTCCACAGTCACCTTATCTTCCGTTTCTTTGCCGGCCTCTTCGCTTCCACTCCGCTAACCTGCGCCGGTGGTACGGTTGCCGACTTATGGAACCCTCTGGAAAAGACCTATGCTTTTCCAGCTTACGCTATACCTGCATTTATCGGGCCCATGATCGGCCAAATAATGGGAAGCTACATTCCAGTCACGCTAGGCTGGCGCTGGCTTGAGTGGATAATGCTTATCATGGGTGGGGTAGTTATGGCTCTGGTCCTGCTATTTCAACCCGAGACATATGGCAACCTAGTTCTCTACTGGAAGGCTTCCATCCTTCGAAAAGAGACTGGTGATGAGAGATATAGGGCTCCCATGGAGATCAGTCAGAAGGGCCTGGGCCAGCGCTTGAAGATCTCTGTGTATCGGCCATTTGCGATGTTCTATTCGGAGCTAATCATCATCTTGATGTCGCTATATCTGACCATTATTTATATCGTCCTCTTCACTTTTCTCGAGGGGTATGCCTACATCTTTGGCGACACATATGGCCTCTCCGAAGGACTGACCAACCTTTGCTGGGCTGGGATGCTTGTTGGGACTTTGCTGGTTAGCGGCGTGGTGCCGGTAGTTTACAGCTGGACTGCGAAGGCCTATGCTAGAGATAAGTTCACTATTGCTCCTGAGATGAGACTCTGGTATACCATGCTTGGTGGTGCAGTGGCAGTGCCGATCAGTCTGTTCTGGATGGGTTGGACAAGCAATGTAAGTCTATACGGATACCCTCACAGGTTTTGCAGGCGCTAAGATATATTTCCTCTTTCAACAGCCAAAAATCTCAATCTGGTCCCCTCTCATCGCGTCAGTCCTTTTCGGCTACGGTATAACCACCATCTTCATTGTTGCATACATGTATCTCATTGATTCTTACGATACATATTCGGCCTCTGCATTAGGATTTCTCGTGTTCACGCGATATGTGGTGGCGGGAGGTGTAACTGTTGCGGGTGGCCCCATTTACGAGGCTCTCGGCGTGCAGTATACCCTGACTATTCTGGGGTCCATCAGTGCAGTTATGGCGTTGGTGCCTTATCTGCTTTATTTCTATGGGCCAATGATCCGCAAGAAGAGTAAATATGCGGTGAATATTGATACCGAGTGAAGACGTGAAAAGTGTGACTAAAAGGAGTCCATATCTTGGTTTATCGGAGTGTTTCAAATTCACTTGGCTTGCAGAATCTAGAGTATTAGAGACTTGAAACAATTTCTAGAGCTAAAAGAGCTTTTTTCTATGTTATCTACGAGGGAAGAGAAATATAAATAAGATAGATATAATCACAACCATTGAGCAGGCATGAAAGAAGATGACTGATACAGATTCTTGGAATGCTTTAACATAACTGTCTCAGTGGAAACAAGACATCAGCTGCGACCTAGGTCTTCAACAAGAAATTGAGGATCAGGAAGCATCCGAAGAAATCAACACAGCGTTTCTGAAGACCTTCATACAATGAAGAACCAAAGAATAAAAAGATTGACAAATGTAACGAATTGTACAGGAACGAGCTTCGCTGTGGTACCTCGTTGTAGGCTTCAGGACAGATAAGTGAGCTGCTTGACATCGGAGGTATTATCGGGCCCTCGGGGCGGCAGCTCTTGACATAGAAAGACAAAATTCTACGCCCTTTAAGCCCAGAAATATCTCCTCTCCACTCACACTCATCTCCCAGCAGGTCTCCACGAATGAGCGAGTGGACCTCTCAAGACGAAGTCACGCATTGATGGTACCAAGGGTTCTGCTCCACACAGGTGCAAGGCGACTCACACTCGGTTGGGCCGGCATAATTGAGGCCTCCGCATTGACCCCAGTGCGAAACAAGATTGCCCGAGCTAGCGGCCGTCGAAGAAGTGCTGCTGCTGGCAGGGGTCTGAACATGGGCGTGCGCAACAGCGGTAGTTGTACCCGGGCTTGCGACAGATGCACTGCTGACCGAAGGGGAGGCAGCAGACGAGCTTTCCGAGCCATGTCCACTCCACACATCATCACCAATTGGCGTCTCCAGGATATCCGTCTCTATCTTCTCGGCTGAGTCGACCCACAGATTGAGGCCGTTGAACAGGGTCATGTTGTCGTTGTAGAGACCAGGGATTTTGTACGTCAGACTCGGAGATCCAGTTCCCGAGCCTGTGACCTTGACTTGCGCACAGCTAGAATCTTGGTATCAATACTGTTGCTCCTTGAATATCATAAATCTGGGAGCGGTTGTCTCACCTGTAGAAGAATTCAGCCTCGTTGGCCTGAGCGCCGTGCAAGCCCACATGCTCGGCGCGCACCAGGTACTCGCCCGCCGGGGTCTCAGCAGGGATTTGGAACTCGAATTGAGACATGCCCCAGGTGCACCAGGCGTCCTTGGTCAAGTCGGCATTCTCGTTGCAAAGAGTCTTTTCCCAGATTTTGAACCATTCCCCGTCGCCTTCGTATTCCTGGACATTGCCGGTGGGTGCCTTGGACATATCTGCGGTTCGGGAGAGTAGGATGATTAGAAGATGAGTTACCATGACAGGGGGTGAGGGGGTGACTCATACAAACTTGACCCGGACCAGGATGCGCAATACTGGTGTCGTAGAAGAGCTTCATCCCGATAGTATCGCCCGCGGCGACCTCAGCGACCTCAGTCTTGGCAGCATTGCTGAACGAGCCCAGGTTACAGCGGAAGTCGTTATCATTGGGTGTCAGATTGTCAAAGGTGCTGGTGTACTTGGTCGGCTCGTAGACTACACTGCGAGTAGTCTCACGAATGTACTGCCAATCCGCAGAAGCCTCTCCGTTCAGCACGAGCTTGCTGAAGATATAATGGGCGGAAGCCGTAGGTGCCAGGCTGGCAGTGGCTGCAACGACGAGAGGGAGATACTTCATTGTCTTTGACCGACGATGGAGAGGAAGTTAGAAAATAAAGAGAGAGAATGAAAATTCAATGAATTGAAGTGGAAAGAGTGACGAGAGCCTGACGCCTGGTCAGATTGAATCCAGCTCGAGAAAGAGAAGTTAAAGTAAGGAACGATATCTTGTACAGTTTCTCTCCCAGCTGAAGAGGATAAATGAGGGTTATATATGGATGTGCCAAGCACGGCGCGGCTTAGTTCTGTCTTCGAATGTCCACAGCTTGAACTCCTGTTGTCATAGTCCTTCAGTTCCTAGCGCAGCGCCGTAGCGGGCTTGTCCGAAACAATCTGTCTCACCATTTCCCTAGACAAGGTCCAGTACACGTCCATATACCTGGCTGAATTTTGGTTATACCCTGCTGGAAATGCAGTCTCCCTGGCATGCTACAGTCCAATACATTTTTGAACTCATAGTATGCTTAAGAGCTCTCTGTAAGGGCAAATGTCTTCTGTTCATGAGTCTTGCCGTCGGACAGCTTCACACTCACGTAGACATTCTCGACGAATCCGTCATTGACACTCCGTGTTCACCAATCACCACCCAGTCGGCGCGTAGCAGCTGTATCTCCCGGTCTAGGTGACGCCATATTTGCGAGCAGTTGGCGACATAAATTGAAAGTAAACGGCCATGAGCCCAGCCGTCCAATCATATCGACGGATCCTTGCGATGAGAAGAAGATCAGTACATAGCGGTACAGATTGATTCCACTTTTGCTTTGCTTGAAACCGCCAGTGTTTGCTAATGGTGCAGTGCGCGCCTCGGTGACACTGATATGGGACTTGGCTCGGTACTTATCGCCCGTCAAACACCCGTTGGCTGTACAAGCCAAAGGTGCGGAATCCGTTCCGCCTGTTCGAGACCCTGAACCCTTACAAGTGGGACAACATGATCCAGCCTTTCTCTCGGCGCAAAGCGTCCAGAAAACTCTTGGACCAAGTCTCTTGGACTTACGCTGCCTTGAACCTGTTCTTCCAATATCTCTCGAAGGGGCGCTCAGACGAAGTCATGTTGTGCTGCTAAGTGGCGTTGACCATTCTGAACTGGTCTCTCAGCTGTACTGCAACCTACAATTTAGCTATAAATGTGAGAGCCACCCATGGCGCTGCTGTCATTCTCAATTGCTATCTGTGGCATAGTAAGCTGCAGGGCTAATGAAGCCGCGGTACTAAAAAGCCGCGGGACGAAAGTTCCCGGTTGGAAAGTGGAGTCAGTGGCCACTCAGATCCAGGGCAATGTATGGTCGCCGATGACACATCGGAAACGTTGTTACCAAGCATCACGTTCTTCTCATGTGATTGGCCTTTTTGTTAGCTGTTCCACCAGGAATCTTAGGCAGTTCTAAATTTGGTGGCCTGGTAGGGCCATTACGACTTGAAACACACCGATTGCCTAGAATCGTCTGTCGTTCACCTGGTGAGCTCGAAAAATCAAGCCCTGGATGTCCTCCGCAGGATGCCTGCCAAGTCTGCTCCAGCCAATAAGTGGGTGCTAATTCGTGATAGTAATGGTTCACAAGAGAACGGGTCCAATTCCTGCAGAAGTACTAGGTCGTGTGTATGATAAGTATCTCACTATATCGTGCGTCGTAAGCTTCGGTAATTGTTTGAACAAGTCTACCGTCTCCAACCCTTAGCACCCTTGTGCTGTGAGTTGACAGTCCATGCTCTGAACATAGGTACATTGTTCTCTTCCTGGTCGAACCTATCTCATAGTCTGTTTTCTTTCCTTTCTATTCTCTATGCGCTTCTCTGGCAGAAAGGGGTTAGAATGAGCTTATCTACTCGTGATGGGCTGAGATATAACGTAAACCCTGTTCAGAGTTCGGAAAGTGTATAATCGTTGGCGGCTAATTTAGAAATTAGGATAGAGGCCAGGGTATCTAGACAAAAGTTTAGGCTACCATGGAATAATTCTCTCTGCGACGTAGGGTGCCACAAGGTCGTTTTTCACATGGAAGCCTTTCGTACTAATCTAGCCTTTACTTGCTACCATCCATATTAATAGAGCACACACTTCGATATGGGCTGAAGAATATTTCGAGCCCCGTTTAATCCTACTTCCGCATTCCCGTAGGTTCGGATATTTCTGAGGAGTTTTTGGAACTGCTTCAAGGGTTTTCACACAAGTGGGTCAAATTGACCCACCTCATTACCTTAACTCACGGACTGCTATCAACTTACTAGACCAAAAGAGACATATTCCCGTGGGATGGTGCTATTTCTCGGTTAAGTCGTTAGCCGTAAACTGAGCAGCCATGAATGGTCGCACTGCTTACCGATTAGGTTACGGAGTATAATTCCGCAGTGAGCAATAGTGATGGCAGGTGAGGGCGTGGAATGTATTTCGACACATGTGTAATGATAATAACCTATGTATCAAAACTCAGCCATTCGTAGTCGCAACTTGAAATTCAAATCATCTTCATCTTAATCCGCAGTATCACCGGTACATCACTCGAGCCAGTATTAGCTACTGGTTATATGGGCGGAGCTGGCCTCGAACCGCACAGAATTACTCAATCGATGAAAGGTGCGCTTAGATAAAATAAGCCCTGCTAATAAACAAGGATGAAGCAAGAAGCAAGAAACCGGTTTGAATGATCATATAGAACAAGGGGCGTACCCGCAAGGGTCACGATCTTGGGACCATCGAGCCCACTCAGGACCATCGGCTTTGCCATCGGGCACCCTACCAATGCAGTGAGTACGAATACTATTGGCCATATACGTACCAGATAAGCAGGTGATTTAATCAATCTCAACACCAAAGGCTGTTCGAAGCGACGGTTAAAGTGATATTCAGGCAGTCAAGATTACAAACTCCTAGCATGTATATCAATAGTTTGTGAGTTTCCATGTGGCGTTTGAGGCATTTCCTACGAAATAGGTGGCCTGGGGGCTAAATCAATATTAATCACATGTAGTTATGTTACGCGCAGGTGAAAGAAATTAGCCAGGTAGATAGACAGCGGGATTCCTCCGACCCCTTAATGTCGCTTAGGTTGTTTCATAGTGCTAAAATTGTAGCCTAAAGGGATAAACTGCCTGAGGAATATACAGGTTGAAAGATCGGGTCTTTGCACATCCTTCCCCTTTTCGTCGACAGACGAAGCATATAAAGGTGAGTGTCTGGCAAACAACCGTTGCTATCTCAACACCCTCAACTTTCAAGTCACAGTTGTACCCTTCTACTTGGATATATTCTTTCTTATCATCATCATGGTGTCTTTCCTTGGCCAAGCACGCCTGGCCGTGCCAATCCTGTCAGCTTTTGCGTGCATGCTTGCGGCAAGTTCCGCCATCCCCCCACCACCGCGTGGAGCTCTTTCACCCGAACGTCTACAATGGATTAGAGAGGTGATCGGCAATCAGACTGAGAACGACAGCGTTTCGGACCTTGCTAAGCGGAGCACTATCCTGCATACCAGCCAAGACGGAGTTGACAGCGCCGGATTCTACTACTCAGTATACAATGACAACGGGGCCGATGTTGGATACACCGAATACCCCACGACCGGCCAGTTCGAACTTGGCTGGAGTGCTGAGGCGGAATTCCTCGCTGGAAAGGGCTTCAAGGGCGGCAACCCACGGTAAGTAGCCCTTCACCGGCCAGAGCCCAAGAAGGCTGACAATTTTCCGGCTCAGCTCCTTGACCTGGGACGGTTATTTCACCGCCGAAGGGGACTGGACTTTGGCCATTTATGGCTGGACCACAAACCCCGTCACCGAGTGGTATATTGTGGAGTCGCATGGAAGTGGAACCCCAGGCAACGGGAACATCCTCGGCCAGGTTGATAGTGATGGCGGCGTCTACGATGTCTATAATCTCCCCTATAGAAATGTTCCGGAGATCTACGGTGTCACCAACTTCGACCAGCACTGGTCGGTGCGTCGCTCCCACCGCTCTACTGGCACCGTCGACGTGAGCGCCCATTTCCAGCGCTGGAAGGAATTGGGTCTCACCCCTGGCTCCCCAGTCTTCCAGATGGTTACCCTGGAAGGCTTTTCCGGCCAGGGGTACCTGGACTTCACCGTTAGTGCATAGAAAGGTTCAGGGACCTCGTGGTCTCAGCTGGCGGCGAGCACTTACTTGAGGCCAGATCCCCTCCACGTGTATCTTTTTTTCTAGGGCAAAGAATGGTGACTTCGGTTCAAGAAACAGAAGCCCCCCTTTCCCTTCCTTTTTGTTTCTTCTTCTCTTAGAGCCTGCTCTTTAACAACTTGTTCGCTTCTTTTCCAGTTACCAATTATTTTTTGACCTTCAAAGATATTTACTATCGAACTAATTTGTTTATCAACTTCATGCGTTATGATATATTTCGAATCTAAATGAAGATCGTAATACCAATGTGTCATGTACAAGGTAATCTCGGCAGCACAGATGTTTTTGATTATTGATGTTGTGATATCTTACTACTTTAACCCTGGAATGCTCTTCTCCGGGAAGAATCTCGTAATGGACCTAGAACGCGGTAGACCAGGGGTCTAGGGACCTAGAGCCCGCTTGATAAAATGTAGTCTTGCGATCCAATAAGCAATCTCCTAAAGCTTACTTATCTGCTAAATTCATAATGAGTTACAGCTAGTATTTAGAAATATATATTTTATAGTTATAAAAACAGTAATATAGCAAGCTTCCATAAGAAAGGATCATAGTTGCTCTGGATTGAATTTGCCAGTAAATAAAATGGCATAACGACCGCGGTACACTTAATGGGTTTTAATAAAAGATTCAAAGTTTGACTTAAATTCATATACTGATCGCTGCCCCTCTATCTTGTACTGTTGTTTAACTGTTTAGGCGGGCTTGACGGTAAAACTATGATCCGACTCAATACATTTCACTAATGAATAACCATTGGCTGGATCCCCGCTTCGCGCTCGAAAGATATCTGGACATTCACACTCGAAATTCTGTCTCGTCTGAACGGACCACGGCTTTTTAATGCGCCGGACGTGTCTTTTTCTGCGCACAAGTCTAAATCACTATAATCTTGGTTCTTGATACCCAAGCATCGTATTGGTGTTCTCTCTGTATTACTTTAGGCGCCACCAGAACCCTCCACAGCCATCTAGAAAGACTCTTGAGGAGATGTCCCGATCTCTTGGGATGTTGTACGCTGGCTCTCAACAGCTTTTCAAAATTACATACTGATTGATAATCTTAGTGCCCTGAGTGCCGGAATGGTACATATTAATGTGGGAGCCGACGAGACTCCATTTGATGTTCACGTGGAGTTGTTGTGTAGTTGCTCTCCATACTTCGACTCAATATACGGCGATCGTACTAAGAAGCCCATCCCAAGCGACCCTGTCTGCTTTCCGGATGAGGATCCAGTTGTCTTTGCCGAGCTGTTAGCTTGGATGTATTATGGTGACACTCCTATCGACTTGCCTTCTCGTACTAGCATTCACTTCTTGCTACAACTTTGGATCCTTGCTGGAACCTTCGAGACTGCCCGACTGCAGAATCAGGTGATACACCTCTGTAGAACTGAGATTGCCAAAGTCCCTGGCCGAACTTTCAGTTGTGATGATATCGATTACGTCTACAACCATACATTGCCTCAGTCTCCGTTGCGTTTACTTCTGGTTGATAATTGGGCACGGAATGCAACCCAAGAGCACCTCACGAGTTGTCAGAAGAGCCTTCCATATCCATTTCTCGAAGAGCTTTGCCGTGCTCTCATTGAAAGGAAAGGAATTGTAAAAGATGCGGAAGGAGAAATCCATTCTGTTGAACGCTACAATATTCACCCTCCGCCACCGGAAGACCAGAACGGTAGACTGATGCCTCGAGAACGTGTTTCAGAATTTCCCCGGACTGCACCCCCAGAAAAATTGAGAAACAGGAAGATTGCACGCCCCTCTCCCCGTCTTAACAAAGCTTCTCTTACATCGCCGTTACGCGCCATGACACCCAACTCCGTTGAGGAGAATGATCCAAAGAGTGAGATGTCCTCTCAAATGAGTCATTTGCAAATCTGATTTTCTATTCCCACTCCATTAGCTACTAGATCTTCTCTCGCAACACTGAGCGAAGACGTTCCCCCTTACTTTGTTTCATCTTCCATCATGTCCGTGGTCTATTTCTTCCATTTTTATTAACGCTATGAGTATTGCTGCCATTCTCGCTGATATATTCTAATGATTTTTAACTTGAGATATCTAACCTCGAGGGTTATAAATGATATGTTTTACATCTAACATATGATGCGTTGGGCGCGGCTGCTCCGTAGTGGACCGGGCAGAGGGTTAGCCGCTGAGGTGGCGATGCATTTACTATATTTGGAGTTCGGCCACAAATACATAATACCTTGTTAGTTGGCATAGACCCGGCACCATATCACGTCAAATGAAACAAGCTAAATGATCAGGGACCAATGAATTACAATGTATGAGAGAGCATTGCAAATTCCAAAGGTTGGCTTTCCAAGCCAGAAACACTGAACAACTCATAACCGCGTTCGGCTAACCAGACATGTCAATACCGGACTGGATGTCAGGCATTTAGTGGCACGTAGGGTTGCCGAGAGATAACTTCTTTTTCTCCTGGGGAGAATTCGATAGACTCGTAGGGAACTTTCCAGGTGGTCATCAACTTATCTGGATGGCCTGTTCCGTAGTGCCGAATGATGAATTTTCTCTGGAAGAAGACTTTGGCGCTTAGAACTTACGAATGCACATACACTATCCTCTAGCAGTAGCTCGCAAACCTCCCTATAATACAGAGCCATCTAGCGAATAGGAATTACATTGACATAATAGCAGGTGCCTGCACGAGCGTGGCGGGATGCTCACTGCCTACTCTTGGTTCCGTATGCTCATGATATACTACTTGCAAAATCATTCTGCGACCAGGCTGGAAGGACCACGCTGAGGATAGAAAGCCATTATTTTATACAATGAATGGCTGAGAGTAATCATTAGACTCCAATTCCCGGACTTAATAAGGCTCTCCTCGAGCACAAAACAAAAGGCCAAAGAGACTCGGAGAGTAGCAAATCAGCTTGGCCTTTGAGGGGGCGGCTTTACTTGAATCGGGTAAGGAAGGTTCACCCAGCGGGTAATCCCCATAAAGTGGATCATGCAAGTACGAATTTACGAATATACGAACAATTAGAGGTCTTAGACCCTCTTGATCTAAAGTTTCGAGATCCCAGCCCCAATAAAATTTAGGCTCCTTGGCATTAGCAAATATATCCGTCCCATGTCCGTCTATCCTCAGGGATTTCGAATAGAATTCCAAGGGGCCTCGAGTGGATGATCTCATTTCCATTGTGGCTCTGAGGAATGGTATCTTAATGGATGCTAAAGGATATACCAATACTCTGGTTGAGCTCTGATAGTCTGGTAGTTTCGGCGAGGTGATGCGGGAGTTCGCATTTTGAAACAGGTGGATTTTCAGCAATCCCATCTCCTTGATACGGCCATGTGTTGGATTCGAAAAGAAGCCGCAAACGTGTATGAATCGGTGAATTTCACTGATTCCTAGTATCTTCAAGCACACCTTCCATTTCCGAATTATATCTACTCATGAAATCAGGTATGTTGTTTGTAGCGAAATGCCTTTCCACCTTGCCCCTCAAGTGTTCCGTTCAAAGGGCTAGGAAGAACAACAGTATCTCTAGTGCCAACGGGGGCACGAAGAGCAATATTGAAATGTCCGCTGCAGTCGAAAGACCAATCAACAATGATGTTGCCGTGAGGGGTAGGATATTCTCCCCGTGCCCAGGCCAGACCCAAAGTCTGAGGTGCGACTTTCCACTCCCTAAAACCAGGAGTGACGGGCTGAATACCGAGAACATAACGGCTCAGATCAGCGGTGGGCCCTGCGCTCCAGGCATGACACAGCGAGGTTACGGACCCGAGCCCGGGAGTACCATCAGGACTCATGACCTCCCACATACAGCCAGTGTAGTTGGCATGTTTTGGGTCACTCATCGGGCCCCAGACGCTGTGAAGAAGACTTTTGGCATTAACGGCATCGTTCGCGTGGAAGGCTGCTTTAAGGTGGTAGCCGGAGGTATAGGGGCTGATCTGCTAGGCGAAGCCACTGGCAATGCTGGCGTTGGAGAAGGCAAGAGCGCCTTTGGGAATATATAACTGCTGTGCCATGGTGGACAATAATGCAGCAGTACGCTTTCCAGTAAGGTGTGTAGTATCGCTCAGGATGGCCAGGGCATTGGCATCCTGCGAAAAGAAGTCTTGGTATGCTTAAGAGTGGAAGTAGGCCTGGAGTTTGTCGCTCCATAAATGATCATTGACTGCATTTTGTAGGTTTTCCAACAGCCTCTGATACACAGTGGCATTAATATTTGCCTGCGACAGATACGGGATCCATTTCTTCAGCGATGAAAGGTAGAACAGATTCCAATCGCAAAGAGAAAACCAAGGAAGATCAAAGCATGAGCGAAGTTCATGATGGTTCCGATTTCCTGCCGGAAACTTTCAAGGTTTAGTCCGATATTTAATGGTGAACGTGGAACAAGCTGTTGCGGATGTTCTGGGAGCAACGCTGTTTTATGTCCGAGATCTATGTAGTATCACGTCAATGAGGGCCCTTTCTCCCTCTACGAAACGAATTCACGAGTGTATGTACAATGCGGCGTACGATGCTGCCTGCAAAGCTTGGCATATCCCTCAAATCCATGGTTCGTAGCCACCAGTCAAGCCCTACCAGGAAGTCTCTCAGCCGTTGAATAATGCGCAATACCTGGTGGCGCTCAGGGGTTCCACGTGAAGAGACACTTAACCTTTCCAGGTTTCTCAAGTTGACCCGCCATAAAGTCCGATGGCCCACCCACAACTGCCTGGCATTGGGCGCGGTTTGACATACTAGACCACAGCAAATACGAATGTACGAGATTGCTACTTCCTGCCACCAATCAGAAATCCCGTGGCAGTGCCATGTAAGCCGTCAAGCACATCGCCTCATCCAGTGCATCACGACTCTACATTTAGTGAACTGGTATAAAAAGAGTCCTGACTTGACAGTAGTCGCTGGGACATGTCATCCTGTCTGTAGTAGTCATCTAATTAAATTATTAACCACCACCATGGGGGTACTACTAGTCACGAATGCACACAACAAGTGATATAAACCAACCAAGACACGGCGTCTGCGCCATCCCAGCCATAAAATATACCATGCAAATATCAAACTCAATCAACAGGCTTGTCATGACATCGTAAAGGTAGACCATCAGCTCCTACAGTGGTCTGCCCAGCATCCGGAGACGCTCCCTCAATACATCCGCCTCGCGGTCCTCTTCAGCTTCTGACCTTCTTTCTCTCAATGATACGGACCGATACTCTCCATCTCCTCCGGGTGCCCCAACAGTCACCCACACGAACTTGCTTCCGCTTCCTCCTGCTGCCCGCTCCTGGGAGCCCTCCCAGAACAATTCCATAGGGCTTGCAGCGCCTGACGTCTTGTCTTGCGTGGGTCGTCCTCCAAGGCGCCCCTGCTTCACCCACCCTTTCATCACCTCCTTAATGAAATTGATCTTCTGTAGAAAGGAATTGGCGTCGAGGATATCCCGAACCCGTTCATCTGCAGAACTTGCACCAGTGCCATATGCAATGCCGAGGAAGGTTGCAACTTCGTCCGATGTTACTGCCCGAGTGTCGAATCCTGATGGGTGCATCTTGCCCTTGGTGCTGAGATATCTCGCTGCGGAGGGTGAAAGGTGGTAGAAGTCGACCCAGGGAGAGGAGCTTCTTGTGCGTCCAGGAGCGATCACCAGCTTTGTGTGATCAGGGAAATTGAACTATTGAAAGTGTTAGTAGGTACATTCGACATGTAGCAGATGGTTAACATACTTGGAAGGCACCATCCCCAAATCCCCAGACGCCAACATTCCCCAGTCGCTGGTAGAACTTGATGAATTGGCCCGAGCTACCGGAAGCCAACTCGTCCTCAAGAGCTGCCTCATCTCCGTGTCGTCCTAAAGAACCGATCATGTATTTACCAAACTGGTCAACAAGCTTCACTCGTTTGATCTTTTCAGCGTCCGCACGTGCACAGTCAAGACCAGAGTTCGTGCGGATCTTGATACCAGCCGCAGAAGATCCGCTGGAGGAGGCCTTGACTTCGAACAACGACGGTGAGATCAAGGCTCGCCTAATTCCGCCGCGGCACTCGGTGAAGTCGCGGGTACAATTTTCGTAGAATTCTACCGGCTTACCATGGCGAGGAATGAGCTGGTCTGCCTCGGAATACCCATAGATCGCTCCCTCTTGTTGCTCCTGGCTACGGGCTTTGCGCCGGATGTGTTTTTCGCCATCCCGCACTACTACGCCACTTGCCGGCTGTCCATTCTCTGCCTTGAAGACACATCCTACGCTGCCATCATCCAAGACATAGCCGATACCATACCGGTTTGTGTAGTCCACCCATTTGATCACATATGCATGAGGTGGTCGTCGAAGCCCTGCCCGTCTCCGGGCTGCGGAGTGTGGTACCATGTTGGCCAGCATGTGCCGCAGATCCATGTTCACGTCATCGAGGGACGTCCTTGGTAGCGCTTCCCATGGATCTTCCACATGGAACAAGGGGTGTAGGCCTAGTGTCGAGCGTGGCTTGCTTGCAGATGAGGCTGTCTTACTACCAGCACGACTGAGTGGTTGTGAAGAGGGGTCAGGCCGTACAGATTTCTCCGTCAGAGTCTCCTTTGTCGTGGCACCTTTCGGCAGCTCCTCTTGCTTGAGCACATCTCTGGCCTCTGACTTTGGCATTGACCGTTGCGAAGGCTGGCGTGATCTGACTGGCAATTGATCCATTGCTACGGATGCAGGCCGTTCTTTGGCAGGGGGCGGCAGAGGGCCAGTTTCCTGGCTGCCTGACTCCAATCTGCGAGACTGCGAGCGCGTCTGGGAGCGGGTTTGGGAGCGAGTCTTTCCAATGACCAAAGATTCCGGTGCCGTACTAGACTTGGGTATCTGTGGCGCAATGTTCTTGTCTAGATCACGCAACGAACCCGAGTACGACGCTGCCACACCACGCCGTGCGCGGATTGGCCGCTCCGCAAGACCACCTGAAGGTATAACTGCAGGGTTTGCTTCTGCCTCTTTTTCTTCGAACAAAGCCTTTGCCGTCGGTACGGGATCGGAGATAGCTGCAATTTTCCGGACAGACCCTCTGCCTGTAGCTGCCTGCTGCCGCAGAGTCGCGGCATGACTCTGCGATTCTTTTCGGCGCTGCTGAGCAGCAGCCAGTGCCGCTTGAGTTCGCGTTAGTGACGCCACATTACTCCGAGCAGATGCGCTGCTTTTCCTTGACAGGACACTGTCTTCGAAGGAGGAGCCATCTCTGCGCGACAGCAAGGAAGTATCAGGATCGCTCCAGTCACCTATCGGGTCATGGGGGTACCTGTACACAATATCCTCTGGGAGGGGTATGACAGGCTGGAATCCTTTCTCCTCCTCGGATAAGCATTCAGCATATGCCGACTTCGAGCAATTCTTTCCGGCGGCCTTCCGTGCTGTACCGTCTGGTTTTCTGCCCACGCCACAGAGTGTGTAGAACGCCGCCCTGCAGACCAGATATCGCTGACTCGGATCATCGATGTGCTCGATGTAGCCAGACAACTTCTCGTCGTATTCCAAGCTGCTCCCAAACATCATTCGATCGCCGCGGGGCTCATCTGGCTTTAGCCAAACAGGCCTACTAACGCTACAGGACGGGTCAAGTCGCCTGGGTATGCAGCCGTCATACATCCTGAAAAATGGATGTTCGACGATGTCATCCGGCTCCGGGCGCTCTTCTTCAGCGAGGTTGAGACACCAGCTCACGAGCGACTTCGCCTCTTCCGGGATGTAGTTGGCGCACTCGGTGCCTTTCGGCCATACGTATGCCAAGTTCCGCACCTTTTTATAAATCTCCTCTTGTGTTTTTGACTGGAATGGCGGGTACCCGGTGAGCATCGCGAAACTGAAAATGCAGTTAGCATGGACGCTTTAGAGACGAAATTAGCTTGGGCTTTACCAGATGACCCCCAAAGACCAGATGTCGACCTTCTGTGTATGGCCGCCTTTACTCTTGTCGAGAACTTCTGGAGCAATGTAATTTGGCGTCCCGCACAAAGTCCTCCTCCTCTTCTCATCCTTCTCAGACATGATCATTGCTGCCAGACCGAAGTCGCCCACTTTAATATCCATGTTTTGATCCAGAAACAAGTTCCCCATCTTCAGATCGCGATGCGCTACATTTCGTTTATGTAGGTATTTGATCGCACCGCACAGTTGAACCATGAACCGTCTGACCTCGGGCACACTTAGGCACTTCCTCTTTCTGACCATATCCATGACGGACCCATTCGGACATAGTTCTAAAATGACGTATATACTGCTGTCGAAGACGAAGGCGCGATGGAAGCCGACGATGTGTGGGTGGCGCATCTTCGAGTGAATCTGAAGTTCGGTGCGGAACTGTGATCATCGGTCAGCATACTCAATGCGATTACGCAGCATCACAAACAGGTTCTTAGGTTATATATACCTTCTCCTGCATCTTCTTCTGTGCCATTTCGGATCGAACCACTTTCATAGCGAAAACACGGCCGGTTCGCAATAGTGTCCCTTCGTAGCAGATCGCAAAGCCACCCTTGCCAAGAAAAGCGCCCGTCGAGTATCGCTCTCCATCCTCTTCCGGCTCCAAAATCAGCGATGGTGGTGGCGGCGCATGGTTTTTTGACGACGAAGCTTTTTGGGCAGCGGCGGCAGCGGCAGCATTCTTATCCAATACTTTGCGCTCCATTGAGATCTTGGGCTTGACGATTTGGTTCGTCGACCGGGGTGATAGCGCCTCCATCTTGCCTTTCGGAAGCTCCTTGTGCCTTGATGTGATTGGGTATCAATGTTGGTGACAAAGGAACGGCGGTGATCTCGAATCCAGACTTGTAGCGGACATCAACTCAGACGATATAAACGATCAATAGGGGTACAGTGCACTCGGGGTATAATGGATCTAGTTGGCTTGTGCTCCTAACAGACTGTCAGCACCCCTATACAAAAATGAAGTTATGCGACCTGAGGCCGGGTCCCAGCGACCGGGTGAGGGGGTTTCACTGCACGGTGATGGAACACCGACACCGCAGCGCCGAGGGGGAGATAGTGAGGCAATGGGAACAAATACTTACTAAAAATGAACGAATATCAAACAATTGACGCTCAAAAACAACAATATGCAATCAATGGCACTCCAATCAGGGAGACCGCGACCAGAGAGAGGTGGGGGGAAGACAGGAAAGTGAAGTAGGGATAGACAGAAGCAAAGACGGAGAGCTTCCCGGATGGAGACCAAACGAACTTCCCGATGCGGCAATCGATAAACATTGATCCGAATGCCAGTCCAACGCGCATTGCTGACCTCAGCAGGCACAGTGCTGGCACGTTATGCACGGCTATGCGCCCCACGAATCCCGCTGCGGTCGATGCCTGACAATCGAGTCAGCAGTCTTGTGGATCATCTTCGACCAACTTCCAGACCCATGTGAAGAGCTATTTTAAGACCTCTCGTTAATGTCATATGGATTCAAGTCGCTTATAATCAGCTCTTGATTTGCTTTCTTGTTCTCTATAACATCCCTCTTCTCCCTCCCCTCCATCCACCATGTCTCTCACCCTCAAGCTCTCCTCCCTTGTCATCCGCACCTTGTCAAAGCCGATCGCCGTACGCTTAGTCCACCCTTGCAGTGATGTGCTGCTGACAGGAACTGACTGACACCCCAAAGAACCAAATCAAGGCCCAGGCTCGCGAACATGAACGCTTCCGGCGCATCTGCGTCTCCATGGCGCAAGGTCTCCACCGTATCGACATGCGTCTCCGGCTAGGCAACATCCGCGACAACGCCGCTTCGCAAAAACGAGCAGCTGCTGAAAGAGAGCTCCGAAAACACAAACCCACATCCCCAACGGTCAAGACGGAAGTAGAGGCCAAAGCGGAAGAGGAAGCCATTGCGAAAGCCAAAGCGGCGGCAGAGGAGGCAGCGAAGCCGGCACCGAAACCTCACATTCGACCATTGTCGGAGTCCAAGGCGATCGAGTCTGGTGCCACATTCATCAGCGAAACATTCTTGTTTATAGTGGCGGGAGGACTGATTGTTTTTGAGTCGTGGCGGTCGCGGAGAAAGGAAACAACCCGCAGGGAGGACGTTGAGACTCGATTGGCCGAGCTGGAGCAGTCTGAGAAGGCCGCTCGGCTAGCACTGTTGGCCTTGGAGAAGGAGCTGCTCCAGCAGAAAGCCAAGCACGGGGAACTTGGGGAACTTCCAAAGTCCTCCTCGAGGATCCTACCTCGTGAGGTGTGGGACGTAAATCAAGAGGACGAAGTGAAGCCAGCTGAGGAGCCGGGTTTGCTCTCCTGGATTACGTCGTATCTGCCTTGGGGGGAGAGTCCGGAACAACGGGCAGAGTCTGTGATCAAGGAAAGTAAGAGCGCAGCGAAGCCATCACTTGAGGCACAAACGTCGCCGGCATCGAAACCAGCCGAACCTGAACCGAAAGCGCCAGAGTCGAAAAAAGCTTGATCGATGCCAGTATTAGATTTATGCACCTGTATATATTGTTATAGATCAGTTGGGGCACTATGTGGAGGATTATCTTGTTAATTATGTAGCGATACCCTTATACATGACGGAAAGAGGAAGGCAAGGCACGCAGAGGTTGGTTTCGGAGCGACAAGCGGAGGCATATAGATATAATCCACTCCTCTCTTCATTGAGCTTACTTTCCACATACCCATATCCACATTCGAATACTACACCGGATGGAGCCCGACAAGCGGGTTTCACTTCGAGGCACCTACTGCTCTTCAATTCAAGATCAATCTGTATGGAAAATGCTTGAGCCGATCCTGAGGATGTCGCCGGGTTTAGAAGGTTGGCAGAGTTCCGTTGATGATTGACCTCTTCTCCTCTGATACCGTTACAGCAGGTGAAGTGAAAGAGGGATGTGATTTCAACATCCGCCTGGGTCATGAGACGGAGACACTGAGCATCCTCCTGTTGACACCCTCATCCATTGAATCGTCTGTGACGCAAGAGACTACATCTAGACTACGCCAACTTTCTGCCCACACAAGTGGTATCAGCAAGAAAGCCGTGGCATTTCTGCTCTCCGAGACAGCGTTCCATAGTGCAAGTGGGAGATATCGTCTGGATGGGCTGGTAGCATTGCAAGCGCTGTACGAGCATCCATCACACTGATCTTCTAGTGAAAATGATATATCTGCGGCTAATACTACCGAGAGTCATACAGGATGATCGAGTCCCTCCCAAACATGCTGCCTATCATTCCTGTCGCGGATGCGGATAGCCTCCTGGCCTCTGTGCAAGAATATATCGCCAACCTCGAGACAAGAGATAACCAACAACAACAACGACGACAACAACACTCTGCGAACACAATGGGGTTTGCGGGATCTAGATTCTTCTCTACCAGTGCGTCTTGGGAGCAGGGCAGACAGAGCTTCAGCAAATTCGCTGGTTTGTAGCTCACGTAGCTAGTATAGGAAGGATCAGCAACTACGTACGGGAGTATTATCACAATAATCACACCCCTTTATTTTATTGTAAGGGGTCTGGAGATCAACCCAATGCAGCTGTTCTCTAAAGAAGTGATGCACAGGATGATGTCACGCGTGTCTCGTTGCCCAATGGTGTAGTTCCAAGTCAGGATTGTGTGCAGTACTAAAAGGAAGGCATATCAGGCTGGGGATGTTAGGTACAAACGACCCAAAATATATTTCGGGAGTGGATCGTATTCGTTTACCAAGAATACTCTCCCCTATCCAGGGGTTCTATGACGGGGACACACCAATTTTCAGCGGTGTTAGCCCCTTATTAATGCAATTGACGAAATGTGGCAGATACTACGGTGGAAAAATCCGGGATCAGCTTGGTGGTGAAGGAGCGACTAACTAGTCACTACTAGTAGTATAAGCTGGACAAGCATTGGGCTGCAGGGGGTGACGTAGTGAGGGTGAGAGGAGGGGAGGGAAGAAAAAAGAAAGAGAACCGTTGGCAATGGCAGCCTCAGGCTTCTCCCGAGAAGAGTCCCTTGGATCGTCGGTGCCTCGGACGGGCGTGTGCGGCCAGCCTTTTCCCTTTCACTGGAAACCTTAGCGCCAGGGACCCGAATCCCAGGGGCGACTGGCGCTCGGGGATTTTGCCCCGGAGGCAACAACATACTAAAGTACCACTGAAGTACATCCGTAGTAGATTACCTACGGTTAAGTGTTCAGTACACTGCCAGAGTCCTAGAGTTACTAACTAGAGAAACTCTGGTACTCCTTAGCTCTGGTACTACCAATCCTAGCTGACTAGTACTAGTAAGATGGTCGGGTAGCGGCCAGACTGATTGCGCGTATTCGAGGCAGCGCAACCCAAGTGTGGCGCAGGCTCCATCGGCCGGCCCGCCGAATCACCGGCTCTCTGTCTGTCTGTCTCTCTCTCTGCCTTTACTTAGAATAGCGAAAGAGGGTCCCCATTCTCTCTCCTCCTCCTCCTCCACAAGGCACCCTTCCGTCATTCTTCCCTCCCTCCTTCTCTCTCCCCTCGTCCTCTTCGCATTCCTATACCCCTCTTCCATTATCCTAACACACTCCTATCCTTTCGTGCGGGCCCCTCTCACCATCCACTAGCTTCTTGGAATGAACCATACGCCCGCTGCGTTCATTCCGTATCCGCTGTGAATTTATCCGCCCGGTTCCTTTCCAGACTGATAGGCCAGATATCGTGACGCTTGGGCGCAACTTCCGGGGAAGTCGGTAGCCACAATCATGGTGAGTCGCGGCCCATTTCACTGCCAGTTCGATGACAGAGGTTTATACTTTTGTAATAAATTATCTTCTACTAACCCCATGTCTCGTTGTAGGGTCATTCACGACGTCCGGCTGGCGGGGAGAAGAAGAGTCGCGGCTTCGGTCGCTCCAAGGCCGCCGCCGATGTGGGCGACGGGCGACAGGCGGGCAAGCCCCAGGTCAAGAAGGCCGTCTTTGAAAGCACAAAGAAGAAGGAGATTGGTGTCTCTGATCTTACCCTCCTCAGCAAAATCTCCAACGAGGCCATCAATGACAACCTCAAACTCCGCTTCGAACATGACGAGATCTACGTAAGCTGCCGCTGCCACCACCACCACCACCACCACAACCACCACAATGGCAAGAATATCTAGGCTAGGACAATCACTAACGGACGACCTCGGTAGACATACATTGGACATGTGTTGGTGTCTGTGAACCCGTTCCGCGACTGTAAGTGGTTTCCCCTGAAGCGCCAGAATTACCCATGGTCGCATGGCTGACCACGCCCGCCCCCCCCCTATTCTAGTGGGCATCTATACCGACCGTGTCCTCGAGTCCTATCGGGGAAAGAACCGACTCGAAGTCCCACCCCACGTTTTCGCGGTCGCAGAATCCGCCTACTACAACATGAAGTCATACAAGGATAACCAGTGCGTGATCATCTCAGGAGAGTCGGGTGCGGGTAAGACGGAGGCGGCCAAGCGGATCATGCAGTACATCGCCAGTGTGTCCGGCGGCAGCGACTCGTCCATCCAACAAACAAAAGACATGGTTTTGGCCACCAACCCGTTGCTGGAGTCGTTTGGTAACGCAAAGACCTTGCGCAACAACAATTCCTCCCGGTTCGGAAAGTACCTGGAACTGGAATTCAACACCAATGGCGAGCCGGTGGGTGCCAACATCACAAACTACCTGCTGGAGAAGTCAAGAGTGGTGGGACAAATCACAAACGAGCGAAACTTCCACATTTTCTACCAGTTCACCAAAGCTGCACCGCAGAAGTACAGAGGTAGGCGCATGAATCCTGGTTCCCGTGGCCGAGCTAACAGCTCGTGGTAGATATGTTCGGCATACAGCAGCCTCAGTCCTACCTCTACACCAGCCGATCGAAGTGCTACGATGTCCCCGGAGTCGATGATGCGGCCGAATTTAGAGACACCATCAATGCCATGGGTGTCATTGGTATGACCGAAGCGGAACAGGACGAGGTGTTCCGGATGCTGGCTGCGATCCTGTGGATCGGAAACATTCAGTTCGCCGAAGATGACTCCGGGAACGCTGCCATTACCGACCAGTCGGTGGTCGACTTTGTCGCATACTTGCTGGAGGTCGATGCCGCGCAGGTGAACAAGGCGCTCACCATCCGGTTGATGGAGACGGCCCGCGGAGGCCGCAGGGGATCTGTCTATGAGGTTCCTTTGAACACGGTGCAGGCGCTAGCTGTTCGTGATGCGTTGTCCAAGGCGATCTACTTCAATCTCTTTGACTGGATTGTTGGGCGGGTCAACTCTTCGTTGACCGCCAGAGGTTCTGTGGCGAACTCCATCGGTATCTTGGATATCTACGGGTTTGAGATTTTTGAGAAGAACTCGTTTGAGCAACTGTGTATTAACTACGTAAATGAGAAGCTGCAACAGATCTTCATCCAGTTGACCCTGAAGGCGGAGCAGGATGAGTATGCGCGGGAACAGATCCAGTGGACCCCGATCAAATACTTCGATAACAAGGTGGTCTGCTCGTTGATTGAGGACAAGCGTCCGCCTGGTGTCTTTGCAGCGCTGAACGATGCCTGCGCGACAGCGCATGCCGACTCGGGCGCGGCGGACAACACATTCGTCGGCCGTCTGAACTTCCTGGGCCAGAACCCCAACTTTGAGAGCCGCCAGGGCCAGTTCATCGTCAAGCACTACGCCGGTGACGTCAGCTATGCAGTCGAGGGCATGACCGACAAGAACAAGGACCAGTTGCTGAAGGATTTGTTGAACCTCGCGGGTTCCAGCAGCAACCAATTCGTGCACACCCTCTTCCCCAACCAGGTGAACCAGGATGATAAGAGACGTCCTCCCACCGCCAGCGACAAAATCAAGGCCTCTGCCAACGACCTCGTGGCGACCCTGATGAAGGCACAGCCATCTTACATTCGGACCATCAAGCCCAACGATAACAAAGCGCCCCGGGAGTACAACCAAGGGAATGTGCTGCACCAGATCAAGTATCTGGGTTTGCAGGAGAACGTCCGTATTCGTCGCGCTGGTTTCGCCTACCGTCAAACCTTCGACAAGTTCGTGGAGCGCTTCTACCTGCTGTCGCCCAAGACCTCGTACGCTGGTGACTATACGTGGACGGGTGATGAGGAGTCTGGCGCCCGCCAAATCCTCAAAGACACCAGTATCCCCGCGGAGGAGTACCAGATGGGTATCACCAAGGTGTTCGTCAAGACGCCGGAGACGCTATTTGCCTTGGAGACGATGCGCGACCGGTACTGGCACAACATGGCCATTCGCATCCAGCGTGCTTGGCGCAACTACCTGCGCTACCGCATCGAATGCGCCATCCGCATCCAGCGGTTCTGGCGTCGCATGACAGGCGGTCTGGAGTTCATTAAACTACGTGACCAAGGACACCAGGTCCTCCAGGGCAAGAAGGAGCGGCGCAGGATGAGTTTGCTCGGGTCGCGGCGCTTCCTCGGAGATTATGTGGGAGTTGGCAACAAGGGTGGCCCGGGCGAAATGATCCACAACGGTGCAGGCATTAACGGTAAGCCACACGCTTTACGTGTAGGATTTGTACTGACAAGTGCTAGGATCGGAAAATATTCTCTTCTCTTGCCGTGGTGAAGTATTGATTTCCAAGTTTGGCCGGTCTAGCAAGCCGGCACCGCGCATCTTTGTTTTGGTAAGTCGAATGCTCCTTGCTGCAACTGGACGCAGCTGACAACGCAGACCAACCGACACGTCTACATCGTGGCACAAACGCTGGTCAACAACCAGCTTCAGATTGCGTCAGAGCGGACGATACCTATCGGAGCGATCAAGTCCGTCAGCACATCCAACTTGAAAGACGACTGGTTCTCGCTGGTGGTGGGCGGACAGGAGCCAGACCCGCTGATGAACTGCGTCTTCAAGACCGAGTTCTTCACACACCTCACCAACGCCCTTCGGGGGCAGCTGAACCTGAAAATTGCCGACCAGTAAGTGTGTTTCGTCCTCGTAAAGAGCGCCACTAATTCTTCCTAGCATCGAATACAACAAGAAGCCGGGCAAGCTGGCTACCGTCAAGGTGGTCAAGGACCCTGGGGCCTCGAACGTCGATAGCTACAAGAGCAGCACCATCCATACGAGTGCGGGTGAACCGCCTAGCTCCGTGTCCAAACCCACGCCACGCCCGAAGCAGGTTGCTGCGCGACCCGTGACGAAGGGCAAGTTGCTCCGCCCCGGCGGTCCTGGCGGCGGACCTTCGAAACTGGCATCCAGACCTGCACCGGCGCGCCAGCCTATGCCGCAGCCCACGCCGCAGCCGGCTGCCGTGCAACCACCCCCCGCCCCCCGGCCAGCTGTGTCGCCCGCAGCGCAGCCCAGGCCGGTCCCTCAACCGGTTGCCGCGGTTGCCGCAGCGCAGCACACACGCAATGCATCCTCCAGTTCCACAAGGGCGCCGCCCCCGCCTCCCCCGGCGACGCCCCCAGCAGCCCAGAGGAAGCCGATGGCGAAGGTGTTGTACGACTTCAACAGCGACCAGTCCAACGAACTGTCGATCCGGGCGGGCGATCTTGTGCAGATTGTCTCCAAGGAAGGAAATGGTAAGTCACACCCGCCCATTATTCTCGACGGCAGGTCAGCTAATGTCTGCAGGATGGTGGTTGTGTATGAATACCACGACATCGGTCCAGGGCTGGACGCCCGAAGCCTACCTGGAGGAGCAAGTGGCAGCGTCACCCAAGCCTGCACCGCCCCCGCCGCCACCAGCCGCACCCCGCGCCAGCCCCGTGCCGGCGACTAATGGTGCCGCCGCCGCTGTGGCCGCCAAAGCCAAGGCCAAGCCCGCACCGCCGGCCCCGCCAGCCAAGCGGCCCAACATGGCAGGGCGGAAGGTGGCGCCCGCACCCCCCGCGGCGCCACGTGATAGCGCAGTGAGCATGAACTCGCACGACTCGTCGGGAGGCAGTGGACGGGGGACGCCAAACAGCGCGTCGAACGCGAGTCTGGCGGGAGGATTGGCGGAGGCGCTGAAGGCGCGACAGCACGCGATGCAGGGACATCATGATGAAGATGACGAGTGGTGATTTACTATACCGAAGAAAGAGACTGAGCATGAGAGCTAGAAGCATACCCGGTAGATAAAATAGACATGTATAGCACTGCATATCCTAGTAGATGCATTTCCTAGTTTCATCTCACATGCACAAACAATCTCACAACCTTACCAAACCCATCCTCATCAACCCGATGCCTTAGAAATATTTACAAGAACTTACTCGCCAGACTCATCAACGCCGCCGGACCACCCGTACCACTCGACCCACTCCCCTGACTCTTCATATACATCTTAAACGCCATCTCCGCCGCCGAGTTAACAGCAGACTGCTTATCGCCAGACTACCCAACCACCAGTTAGCCCACACCCTTTACCCTACCCCAACACCCCCCCACCAAAAGAGGAATCAAATAATCAACACTTACAACATTGCCAGACCCACTCTTCTCCTCCCAAAGCTTACTCGCCTGCGCCATCGCCATACCAATAAACTCATTCTTATCACCACTGCTACCACCACCACCAGACGTGAACATCTTCAGCGCCTGCATAGCGGCACCCGCACCCAGACTCTTGCTATCGTGCTGCTGCTGCTCCTGACCGTATCCTCCACCACCGCCGTTGTACAGCTGCTGGTGCGACTGCACCAGGTGCTCCTCGTCGATGTCGGGCTGCTCGGAGTACTGGCTCTTGCGGTCGGAGAGGAAGCCCAGGGCGGAGGAGAAGAGGGAGGAATCGCCGGAGGATTCGTGGGCTTGGGCGTGGTGTTGTGCGGAGGAGAATTCGGGGTCGTAGGAGCCGGAGCCACTGCCACCGCTGGAGTGGGAGGTGGCTTGTTCGAGGGCGGAGGAGATGAGGTTGGAGAAGGACATTCTGATTTCGTTTACTTCACGAAGTGGATGTTTGGTGGGTGGTTGGAAGGTAGTATGATGATGGATGATGAGGGGATGATGATGGAGGGGTAGGATAGGAGTATTTATGAGGGGCTGTGGCGGTGTAGATGTAGAAAGTAAAGAAAGGAATGGGGAAGGATCGGCAGTGGGGCAGGGCTACTCAGCCACGATCGGGTGATTTAGTTTTAGTTTCACTTGGTATTATCATTATCATGAAGTAATGAGTTGGAGAATAGAATGTTTGTTGAGGTATAGCTGAAAAAAAGAAAAAAGAAAAAAAACGGCAAGTAACATGGTATCTCTAAATCACGGCTCCGCCCAATAATGCAGGATAATGCACTAGTCATACACCCATGGCTACAAAAGCAACGTTTCATGCTCCTCGTCCCCCAGCGTCCACATCCATCGCTGCTGTCGCTCTCGCTCAGTCAACATGCATCGGTCGTCGTCGTCCAGCTCTGTCTCGCGCAGCCACTCGTTCGGCCGATCCCGCAGCCCGTATCGTTGTCCCCACTGCCGTCGCTCGTACTCCAGGAACCCGCCAAAGTGCTCGTCCGTGTTGGCCACCCAGATCGTGCTGCCATCCGGCGCGTAGTCCGCGCCGCCGATCTCTCCAAAGAAGTCGTGCACCTGTCGACGCTGGTATGTCTGCGCGTTGACCACAGCGATGCGGTCCGCCGGCTCACACAGGAGCAGGGTGCGCGGCCCGCCGCCCACTGGCGACCAGCGCAGTGACCGGTATCCTGCCACATCGGACTCGATCTTCTGGAGCATCCGCCACATGCGCACATCCCAGATGATCGCCGTCTTGTCCTGATTGCTCGTGGCGATGTGGTGCATGTCGGGCGCCCAGGCGCACGCAAACCCGAAATCGCGGTGTCCGCGCAGGGGGTGCACCGGGCGCCCGGTATCCGCTTCGACGACCCACGCGTCCGCCGAATCGCCAATCAGCACGCGCAGGCGCCCGTCCGGCGAGGTCGCCGTGCAATTGATGGCCCGCGAGAGCTCGTGGTCCGCCACAAACGTGTTGGTCTCGCAGTCCAGCACTCGCAGGTGACGGTCATTCGACGCGAAGATCCCTTGTGGGGACCGGTTCGTCCGACTCGGAATGATGTCGACATGGTTGGTGATACCATTCGCGTCCTTGGTCACATACCCTTGCACGCCCGGGCCCGTCGTGCCCGCTGCTCGCACGGCATATTCGCCCGAAAACCCGCCCGCGATGGTCGTGTCGTGCGCCGACTTCATCGTCGAGATCTTAACGGGGCCCTGCAACCCCGACTCGACCGTCGGCCGGGACAGATCGAGGAGGCAGACGAGATCGTCATACGCGGGCACCCACGAGTAGACCTTCGACTCGTGTGCAAAGTGGACGGTATTGTAGGCCGCCACCGACATCAGGTTCCGGAGCTGGAAGTGCTCGATGGTGGCTTTGTGTTCCGTGTACATGGCCTTGCCCCGGAAGTACGACTCCTCCTGCGGCAACCTCGCGCCAGGCCGTTGCCGGGAATACTCCAGGTTGTGGTACGATGTGTATGACTGGTCCCGCAGCTCGCGCACATATGCCCGCTTGATCCGCAAGGCATCCCACCAGGGGATCTGTTGCAGATCGTAGAAATCTCGCGTATACCCCGGCGGCCGATAGATTTTGGGCGGAGGGATCCATCCGATCAAATGCGCAATGGCGCTGCGCGGGAGTTGTGCCGACGACATCGAAAGACTGGGGATCGAGGAGGCTGCGGACGACTGGTACAGCCACTGGGCAATAAACTGGTCCACGTTCAGGTTCCTTTCGCGGGCTATCACTGGTTAGCATTTTACCAATGACGTAGAACTCGGGGACATACTCGTTCCAACTACAGGATCAGCAAAGTGCGTCTCGCCCGTCGGATCGGCATTGCTGGAATCGTCCCCTTCGGAGAAGACATTGCTGTAATCGTCGCGCATTGAACCGGCCCCCAGATCAAGTGATTCAGGTCCTGACGGTAAAGGTTGGTCGTGATAGAAGTCTTCCAGCTCTTCCTCCGACAGATACGCCGTGCCGTGTCGGGTTTCCATGTCACTGGCGACATCGTCCTCGTAAGCATCGCCATCATCCGAGTAGAACTTTTGGGTATCATCCGGGTCGTCCTCCACGATGGACTGCGACGTGGACCGGTTCTCCATCATTGACGGCTCATAGTCCATGATCAGATCGGTCGCCTCTCCATCTTCGGTGTCGCTGGAGATCGTGGACGAGACGGGGTGCACGGTTACCGGGGTACCCAGCGACTGATTGAGGAGGGCTGCCACGCCGACGTGTCCGCCAATGTAGGGCTCCAGCGGGACGCCACCCATCTCCGACAGCGCGTCCGTCATTTCCGAGTCCGAAACGTACCATTCCACCGGGGGCGACGACGGGTTGGGCGCATGGTCGGGCACAGTCTCACGCACCAGTAGATCGTCGCGCGCCCTCACCGCATTCACCACCTCGGACGGGGTGGCATAGGGCCGATCGGAAGACTCGAAGACATGCGTATACTGGGGGACGGCCATGAAGGCGGAGGCGGCCAATTCGCTCGTGTTCCGATCGTCTGTATCACCGTGGATGCCCGCCTCGGAAGCGTCCGAGCTGACGGCGGGCGCTGGGTCTTCGACGGACGGCATCTGCACCCGAGTCGACGAGGAGGCGATGGGCGAGGGCAGACTGTCTGGGGTCCACGGATGGGAGGATCGGGGGACGGTGCATGCTGACGGGCTGCGGGCGCGGGTGCTTGGGGGCCCAGGCAGGACCGAAGTGCTGGAGGAGGACTCGGAGGCAGAGGAGGAGGACGACGAAGACGAAGGGAAATCGGAGGTCGTCGGGCCAGGCATTCCGATCAGGGCGCAAAGTTGGCAACGGGGCTGGCCACCGGTCGATTGGGGCGAGCGGTGGGGAGGAATAATAAGCAGGGAGTGGAATTTAAGTAAGGAAACGAGACGGAGGAGGGATCAGCCGTGATTGGCACTGGAGTGGGTTGCACAGGGATGAGGGCCGGTCGGTCCACGTTGTTTGGCCTCCGATCGCAAACCCCGTCGGATCTGGACTTCTGCAGCCGATAAATCGAGTTTCACCCCGCAGGGCGTTTGCCCACCTCCCCCACACCGAGGAATAAGCCTGGGTAGACTTCCAAGTGTGGGACAGACACCGCGCTAACTGGCAAGAAATGGGCAAAGAGTCAGTGTGTGTTGTGCGTTGTGTGACCAACCAACCATGAAGGTCAGTAGTAGTGGTGGTGGTGGTGGTGGTGGTGGGTGGCTTAGAAGTGTGGGATGAGAAGGAAGGAAAGACAGAGAGGGAAGCCAGTGGAAGGCGGACAGAAGGGAATATGGAAGAATCCCGAGGTGGAGGGGCGGTGTCGCACCAAGTAACACCACGAAATAACACCACCAATAGTGACGACTACTTCTTGGGGGTGCAGGGATGGTTGGCCGGTGAACAAATTATAAGATGGAGGGTATATGCCAAAAGGTACCAAGGAAATAAGCAAAACACCAGACAGGACCGAGATGGGATGGGAGGGGGAAGGCCAAGAGGTCGTCAATCATACCCAGTCAGGCAGGCTGCAGGAAAGAGGCAGCAGTTACCGCAAGTGAGGAGGGAAAAGAGGCAAAACGTATGAGAAAATGAGACAAGCAGGAGGAGTGCGAGTAGAGAAAAGCAAAACAGAGAGGAAGAAGAGGAAGAAGCAATTGTCAAGATGGAACTGACAGAGAACGTGGATCCCGATCGGGCCTGTCACATGGAGGGGGTTGCCGATCACGAGGCATACAGCGAGAGACCCTTTTGGAGACCAGACTAGTAGAACTTTATGTAGGGATGTTGCTGCAGTTTGCGAGTTGGTGAACTTAAATGATGCTTCTCTTCCTTCCAACCCACTGTAACTTAATTAAACACTAATTATGAGTAGGAGTACGTTGGTAGCACTAAGTATGTATGTAGTAGTAAGTAGGAACTGACATGGTCTGATCTGACGGGAGGGACATGTCCGCAGTCAAGGCATGCGAGATGGTTCAAATCCCGATCTACATTCCATCCCTCTGATTGGATTGGTTTCTTTTTCTCTTACGTCTGACCCAGTTACTATGGAATCCTACTACTACTAGGAGTATATGCTCACTCAGCCTGATTTTATCTGTCAGATTTCCCTCCCCCTTTTGAGGCTCTCTCACAGCAGCCGTGGAGTGTATCTCAGAATACTATTGCTTGTATTTACCCATACTTGCCAAGAGAAGCCCCCACAAACAATACGAAGAAAAGAGCGTTGAAACACATCTGCCTTCGCCTAAACACGGTGTAAAAGTATACTGACTCCCTCTAAGAATAGTAGCATAGCGTCGGTCCTACTATGGTTCCGACTCCGCTGACTGGTCATGACAACCTGGGATATAGTAGTACTTAGTAATTGGTATTTACTCCTGGAATGACTTTCTTAACTGTCCGCTCAGTCTAGTTTTAAGTGTATTTATAACCCATTGCGTGTAGGTCCATCTCAGATACTATCACCCGTGTTACAGTCGTGTTTGGCGCTTAGTCAAGCCCCATCAGTCTTCTGATTAGCCACTATCAAGAGCGCCTGTAGTTCCTGATCAGTTTCAGAGCAGTCTAGTCGAGCCAACGTTACCTCTAAGGCGACTAACAATAATATTCTCATGGCCTTTGAAAGTGAGAAGACCCTAACCAGCTTCATTGATCGACAGCAGCAGCAACAACAATAACCAATGCACTGCAAAGTTGATGACGAAACTGGTCGCCTCACCTACCGCTGCCATATGGGCATAGTACTGACGTCTCAAGATAAATTACTGTATGATGATTTGATTCCGTCCCGAGGCGTCGAGGAAACAACTCCGTTTCTGGAAGGGAACGACCGAAAAACATTCTTATCCTTTGCTAGACAGATGCTCGCCTGGCTCCCGGAGGAGAGAAAGACAGCTCGTGAGTTGATAGATCACCCATTCCTCAAGCTTGGTGGTTGATCTACTGCCACGTTGCTTTAGGCTTAAATGATATCTCGAATAGTCTTCATCGTCAAGGGGAAACCTGCTGGCGGGTTCTGTCCAATGGACATTCAGCATAACATTGCACTCCTCTGTACTACCGAAGTGAGTCGAAGTGTAACAAATGCTGTTCCATAATTGGCCCCATAGGCCGAATGACTGCGGGGTATGAGCCTGATACTAGCACAGCTTCTTATCTCGCATTGATAACGCATCATCGCCCCCTCACTTCTCACCGTATGTATACCTCAGCACCTCCACGGTGTTCTCGCATTATCAACACCATAGACTTCTGGATCTACACAAACTCCCAGATATCCTATCATGGCCTCCCAGGAATTCCTGTTAATTCTCATGCCGTGCGCTTTTCCAGACAAATGGATTGCCAGCATGAGGAGCGCTGTCCCCCACATCCGCATCGAGAAACGCGAAATTGACAGGAATGCTACGGAGCTGCCCACAGATATCTCCCCCGGGACATGGAGGGATGTTACAGCACTCTTTACTTGGAAGCTTCTTCCGCCCAAGGAGCTGGTCCCAAGTCTACAATATGTCCAGCTCTTGAGTGCCGGGTGCAATCATGTTATGGGGACCTCGCTATTCGCTGAGACTGACGTCGCGTTTTGTACAGCGAATGGGGTTCATCCGTGGGTTTTATCTCAGAAGTATCGTGAAAGAAGGAATTCCACTGACGGATCAGACCTCAAATCACAGAATGGGTTTTCATGACATTCCTCGCCTTCCAGCACCATCGTACGTTGACCACGCCAATGAAAGGAACATAACACTGACGATAAAACAGTACCCGGATATCTGGAGCACCAGAAGCTCGGCCAATGGATCGATCCCACATCGGACGAAGACACCGAGGATGCAGTTGGTCTCAGAGTGTAAGTCTGACTTTGGGTTCTATCGACCTTATATCGACTGAGACAATATCAGTGGAATAATGGGCTATGGAAGTATCGGCCGGCAATGCGCCCGGGTCGCCAAAGCCTTCGGCATGAATGTCCATGCCTTCACACTCCACCCACGAACCACGCCCGAGTCCCGAAAAACAGATTCATTCAGCGAGCCAGGTCTGGGGGACGAAGACGGTCAATTTCCGTCCAAGTGGTTCTCGGGCAAAGATCAACTCAACGAGTTCCTAGGTTCGGATCTCGATTTGCTGGTGATCACTGTCCCGCTGACTAGAGAGACGCGAGGTATGATTGGGAGGGAGCAGTTTAGACATCTCAGCAAGAAGAAGGCATATGTGAGCAACATTGCACGCGGGGCAGTGATCAAAACAGATGACCTTATGGATGCCCTGGATGCGGGTCACATCCGAGGAGCGGCCCTGGATGTTACGGATCCGGAGCCATTGCCGGCTGACCATAAGCTGTGGGGTTATAAAAATGTTATTATTACGCCGCATTGCAGTGGGAACTCAACCCACTATAACGACCGTGCTATCAAGATACTGCAGTGTAATTTTGAAAGACGGGCTCGAGGGCAGCAGCTTCTCAACCAGGTTGATAAGGGCTTGGGATACTGATATCGATGGACGAGGATTTGATGATAACATGACTATTCACCTATATAGACTTATAGACAACTCGAAGCGTTAATCTGAGATCCACTGAAAGAACCTTGAGATCCAGTTTACAGGCTTTGCACCTGGACCATAGTTGGTGCCTCAGGCAGACTTACATCAAAGGCGGTGGCATTTCGCTTGTCTTATCGAGAAAATGGCGGGCGGAAGTCAAGCGCGGCTCTGATCGCCGAATTTCCCAGGCACCGATCATGGCTGACTCTATACCCCTCGCATACGGAGGTGTCTGCTGGTGTCTGCTGCATTGGCTATAGCCTCTTTCCCTTTCCAACTCATACCTCCCAAGGGATCCGCAATAAGAGCTACGTCAAGGTATACAGTTTGTCTGCGAACTCAAGCTCCATGCACCGACAGCCGCCACGTGCTTCAGTGATGCCGGGTCCATACGAGTTCCCCACTGCAATTTATCCTTTTCCCTGTCGGTGGAAACAATCCCATTCATCGACCGTCCCACACTGCCTGCTTGGTTCTCCACCCCCATCTTCATCCGCCTACCCTTCTCTAGCCCTCCATTCCTGACAGAAGAACACCGGCATCGGGGAGGAGCAGAACAGATGGAAGCCCATATCGGTTCGGACAACGGCCCCGGGCTTTCCGCTCCGACGTATGGACTCCCACATTTGATCGACGAGAAGGAGGAGGGCAAGTATCCATTGCTGCTTGTATACCTGGCTGAGCAAACTTCAGCCGAACAAGCTTATCTTGCTGTTCGCCTACAAGACTTCCTCGGAAAGGAAAATGTTACACTCACGAGATGGCAACCGTCACCGGCGCTGCTATGTCGGGTCGCCCTCCAAGGCTCTTACCCAGACAGCCAGGCTAACATTCACGCAACGGCTACCTTGGCATATAGGGCTGGATGGACAAGATTTCTTGTAGCAGATGGCCTCACCCAGCGTCAGCTGCATGGGAATCTTCGTATGGGGGAGGACCCACTTCTTTCACTGGTCATGGTCATTGTCAAACCAGAGCCAGCTACCTTATCCCCAGCGGGCGATTTTTGCGTCTTCGCAAAGCGGACCACTGTAGATGGGAGCAGCGAAGCCGAATTCCTACAGAAACTACGCAACGTGCAACCACCAAAGAAATCTGCTATGCATAACGTTCAACGCGATCGATATTACGATCCTGGCCTCACTCTCTATGAACCAGACCGGCCGCCGTTTACCACCGACAGAGCGTCCTATCTCAGTCACGAAGAACGTTTCAATGTTGCCGAGGCCTTATTGACAAAATACACGCCTTTGCCACCGGAGCTGGTGGGTCAAGTCTTAACTTATCTTTCAGGCGCCAACGAGGGTCCTTCAGGGCTGCCGTCGTGGATACACCACAGCGCACAGCGCTTGAACATCTTTCTCCTGTTTCCGGCGACACCACCCGAGCTTCATCAAATTCAAACCATCTTCCAGGATGCCATTGAAGACTACCGGAAGATCGAGCGCTCCGGTGTCCGGTCATATACCATTACCTTTATCCCGTGGGAATATCACAGAGCCAGGTCTCGCCGTGAAATCGCAAACCTGTGGGAGGCGTATCGGCTTAGAGCGGGGGACAACTCAGCCCCATTTAATATCTACTTTCTCCAACAAATCCCTGTCACTCAAAACGCTCACGACCTCGAACTAGGAATTGTCAAGTACGAACGGGGCGATATGCCAAATGTGGCACGAATATCCCTGAAAAACATAATCATTGACAGAGGCCCGTGGACCGAAATGATGAGGAGACGAGGAATATCCGCAGAACACTATATGTATAGTAAAAAGGTCGAGCCGGAGTTACTGTATTCGCCCAACCAGCCATTCTACACCAACCCGCCGCGATGGCTGTCAGCAAAGAAAGGACAATACACTATACCAGTGTTTTATCTCACGAATAGCTTTCCCACGTCCGATAAAGACAATATAGAAAGAGAAATTCGCACAATAGGCGAAGTGGAAGAGAATCACTGGGGAACTAAAATCGCATGTTACGTTCCCTGGGAGGGTGAAGCCGACGGCACCCTCGACGACGTCTGGAAGATCTTCTGGGAAGTCTTCACCTATCGCGGAGAACGCGACAGCCAATTCCCTATTTTCTTCATCGACGCACAATCGGCGCTGGATAACACCGTCCTAGTTGTCCATCCAGATCACTTGTGGTTTGACCAATCCAACCATAGAGCGCTGGCAATGCTGCAGAATGTGCTGTATCCCAGTGTGCGTGGGCTTCAGTATGGTCGGGTGCCGGGTCGAGAGGCGCATACTGTGCGTGCTAATGTTAGCACCGGGAACATGTTCTTCGAGGAGTTTACACGACCCCAACGCTTTCCGAGACCGGACTGGCCTTGTCATGGGTTTACGGCAGCGCAGGTGTGATGTTTACTGTATTCTGTTTTATTTATTCGTTGGTTGTATGATGACCTTGTGTTGACTGTCATCCTGGGAGTTACATCCGGGCTTAACAGATAGTCCCGTTTGACTCTAAAGCAAATCATGATAGACTCGTTGTTTAGCAATTCCATATACACGTAACCACAATTCGTGGTATATTCACGTACTGGGATATCAAGTGTTTAGGAACGGACTACCGAGCCATACACTCCAATAGAATGAATCGAACAATTCCGAGAACTTACTATCGAATGATTTTTGATGTACCCATTATGAAGTGGAGAGAACCATTGGGATAGAGCAGTTCGTCGAACGGCAGCCCGTTTTGACCAAGACTTAATTCTCAATCCCCAATGACTTACTCCCCGCGTATCTCTTGACTTCAACCGCAGTCACATCACATTATAGTGGTAGTACTCAAGCTTTTGAGTCTTAAATCTCGGCTGTCTCAGACTAGCAGTGCCCACCTAACTCCAGATGGGGCTCGTACCAGGAAACGCGCGTGCAAGTGTAACGTCCATGCCTCAAGGTCCCTATTATATATAACATCGCCACCAGAATCTTCGATCTGGCTCTTCTCCCCCCTCCTCCGCTCTTCATAGTACAACCATCTGGCAGATTTTCAGAACAGCACACTTCATCAGCAGCAATCACAAGATCTACGAAGCCGAGGCTCCTCCATCCCCGCTTCCCTCTTATATAGAGGTGCAAACAAGGACCGTCTGAAAACGATACCCGAAACCCGAGCAGAATCTAAGTGGAGACTTTATCTCGGCAGTCGGAGCTCAACCGGACCCACCCACTCTCGGATCTCGATCGAGTTCCGACATATTTGCCAATATTGCCCCAGAACTCGCAGCTTTTCCTCGAAACCGACGGGATATTACGCTTTTCATTGGTCGTTTACTCATATTTAAGATGATTGCACTGTCGCGCGACGTCCGGGTCTCGGAGGCAGATGATTGATTTATCAGGCTGGTTCTAGAAAGAAGCGGGAAGAAAAAAAAAAAAAAAACCCTGGGAGGCGATTATTGAGCAAGGTGGCATTCTTATGTGACCAATTTCAAGTTCAGGGGCGGGCAGGTACATGCTTCCCTGAGGTCTATAAATTAACTGCAGAAAGGCAAGAAGAACCCAGTTTGCTATTTCATATCGCAGTTTGATTTCTGGTGTATCCTACATTCGAAAATCGACCATGGAGTCCGCAATCTCAGAACACCTGACCCTTAAATGTGGGCTGCAAATGAAGAATCGTCTGGTGAAGGCTGCAATGGCAGAACATATGTCTGATAGCGATAACTTGCCCACTGAGCTTCATAATCGCGCTTATGCCGAGTGGGGACGCGGCGGCTGGGGTATGCTTTTGACAGGTAAGTTGCCGTGCAAAAGGCCTTGGCAATTCGTGAATAAGCCGTTGAACGTTTGGGATAGGAAATGTCCAAGTTGATAGAATGTACCTTGGAGATGCGCGTGACGTTGCACCAAACCCGGCTATCGAGCCAGAGTTGATCCGCAGATGAAGCGAGTGGTCCGCTGCTTGTACCAGGCACGGCACGCCAACAGTCATGCAAATCTGTCATCCTGGAAGGCAATCTCCCATGGGTGCTGGCTCAAGGTGCCTCACAGCCAAAAATGTAGCGCCCAGCCCCATTCCTTTGAGTTTTGGTTCAAGGATCATAGATAGGTTCGCGAGCTCGGTGATTTTTGGTACCCCGAGGGAAATGACCCAGAAGGATATCGATCATGTGGTTGACCAGTTCGTTTATACGAGTCGTTTGGCTTCACAAACGGGATTCCAGGGGGTGGAATTACATGCAGCACATGGATACCTTTTGTCGCAGTTTCTTTCGCCCACGGCGAACCTACGGACTGATCAGTACGGCGGTTCGCCGGCTGGTCGTGTTAAGATTATTGTCGACATCATCCATGCGATTCGCAAAGCGGTCCCAGCTACGTTCTGCGTGGGCATAAAATTAAATTCGGTCGACCATCAATCCGAAAGCGCATTGAAGGCCTGTGTTGAACAGCTCAAGCTGATCGTTGAGGCGGGAGTGGACTTTGTTGAGATCAGTGGTGGGTCGTACGAGGATCCCCAGGTAAGATGATCTGACCCCTTGGCATGTGGTTAGTTGCACAGCTGATGATGACCAGATGATGAGTTCTTCCGCATCAAATAAACAGCCCGAGAAGTCCGCTCGGACGGTGGCTCGGGAGGCATTCTTTCTGGAGTTCGCCAGTGCTATCCGAGCGCAATTTCCAGGGACTCCATTGATGGTGACGGGCGGCTTCCGTACTCGAACCGGTATGGAGAAAGCACTGATTGATAAGGATTGCGACATGATAGGGATTGGACGTCCGGCAGTTCTTAAACCCACGTTACCAAATGACATCCTCTTGAACCCAGATGTCCCGGCAGAGAGCGCCCGGCTTGTCACGCAACAGATAAATCAGCCTTGGATCCTCAAGATGTTGAGCAACAGATCGGTTGGAGCCGGCCTTGAGAGTGTAAGTGAAATGTATGTGATTGGGGTGCCACTCGCTAACATTACTTCCATTCTCAGACATGGTATAGTAGCCAGATAGAAAGACTCGGTCGCGGGCTTGCCCACACGACTGCGTGAGAATACGGTTGCGGGTGTTGCGGCCTTTGCGCCAGTATGGCTGACTAGTCTTATGCTATATATTGCCAATCTTTCTTAAACGCTCATGAGTATGGGTATTGGCGTGGATCAGAGATAGTTTGTTATAGTAATGATAATTCTCAGCGAAAGAGAAAAGCGATACAAGAGAATGGCCATTGTAGTACAGATCATGACCTCGGTTAAAGCGTATATCCCTCGATGGAGATTGCGTCAGCAGGCATGATGCACCATTCAGGATTCCACGAGAAAAGTTCGAGGCTGTCATCCACCAGGCTATTTAACCATGGATCACTCTCAATCATGTCAGACATTATCTCCCCACGGTTGGCTCGGGTCCATGACAATGGCCCATCCGTGAAAAGTAAATCAAGTATCTCTGCCGTGATCACACTCTCATCAATCATAGTCAGCAACAGCGTATCGGGATTGTTAAAAGCGGTCCTGACAGTATCAACGAGCGGCCTTAACCGATCAGCACATACGGCTGCTTCACCCCAACGTTCACCGATGTTGGTGAGAAGCTGAAGACATCGAGGAATCGAGATCTGCAACATCTCATGAGCCCTAACTTGTAGCGGTTCATAATTCCGTGCTGACCAGCATGCCTCCAGCGAGATGACGGCAGTTTCGAAGAGAATATGTACCCCATGCCAAGGATAGAACAGCCTCCGACGTCGCTCCTGAGCGAGGTAGTCCTGTATCAAAACGGATGATGCGTTTAACACAGCTTTCCAGTTGTCTGGACCTCTCAATCTTAGACGCGGCGTTGGCCGGTGGATGCGTGCCATGAGGTGGTGAAACTGCACATGTTTGAATTCAAGCATATCATACTTTGTGTACGACTGTGCCGTCTCGTACCACTGTTCCAATCTCTGGGTGATGCTTTCAATCCATTCCTCTATAGTGTTATTGCCGAACTTGGTCAAGTCTTCTTCCAGATGAAGCACTCTATGAACTTCTGTCTCTAGTGCACGGTACCGACATATATGGTAAGCGACATACTTCTTGCACGGCCTACCGGTGGAGTGTTCCGTATGGAGATTTGTCTCTTCTCCTGTGGGAAACTGGAATTTCTTGAGTTTCTCAAAGAGCCAGAGGGTCGTCTGGGAAACCTACCTTTACCGTGATTGCCTCTTCCGGAAATGATAAGGGTAGGCGGAGGTTCGTACATAATGACCTCTCCATACCGTACGCTACCCAAAATAGTACGCTTCGCTGATAAGGCTCACCATGAACCAGTTGATTGCACTCCAGATAGAGTCCAAGATTGAGGACAATCCGGACCGCGTTAGAAATGCAAGTCCAATTGTCTACCCTCTCTGGGCACATATGCGCATAGTGAGCTAGGAGCAAAGAAATTTGTAGTGCCTGAATCTCGCTATGGTCTGTCATGGCCTGTAGGTGTTTTACGGCGGCGTTATAGAAAGACTCCGAAGCCACTCGAGCTTGGTAATCGGCCTTCCAGGTCAATGTCATCGCAGAGATTGCAAGTGCGATAAGCAATACAAAATATTCGAAATGCCCCAGGCCAGCATCAGTGGGTACATGGTGGATCGGGAGAGCATTTGGGTCCTTCAGGTCCTGATGCTGGATCCTGTCCAGTATTTCATTTACCGCGTTTTCTGACACGCAGGGGTACTGAGGCAAGTGGATGTCGACATAATTCCGAATCATACGATTGATTGCAGAAAATGGAACACTACGTAAATTAATGGGCGCGCCGGGATTGTGTCGATTATTCTGTAAGCTGGGATGTCTCTCAGGAGTGGATTGTCCCCGTTCCCGGGCTATTGCCAATGGGGGACAGGAGGGCCGGAAGAACAATGAAGATGAGGCTTTGGAGTCGAGAAACGAGTTCTGAAAGGGAATGCCAATGGATATGGTGGCCTGTGCCACGGCCGTAGTGATGAGATACGGAACGTTGGTGGAAGCGGCGTTGAACGAAAGCAGTCGTGCTTCGAGCTCTTCCACCTGAGCTTCGAGTGACTTGACGAAGCTTGGAACACAATGTCAGTCCCCAGTGACTATAGACGAGATGTGATATATACCTTCTGGGGACTGCCTCCTTGGAGCTAGGATCAAAGCCCAAGCAAGGCAAATTTGCCAGTTTGCATGGAGTACATGCTGGGAAGATGAAGTCACACTATTGGTGCATGGCCGCGTTAGAGAGGGAGTATGGATGTAGCACGGACGTTACAGCAACAGAAGAAATAATTGGAAGAAGGTATTGTGGGATCGAACCTTCGTTTTGCGCTTCCGGCAGCGGGAACATACTTTAGTTGAGCGTCTCGATCGTGGCATTGTTGGCGGCCAACATGCATGAGACAATATAAAGTCAAGAGAGACTGCGAGATAAACAGATCACTGCTGTGTATTAATATCTACTTAGTAATAGAGACAGATTTCCCCGCATCACCTGATAAGGAAGAGAATCAACCAATTGCATCAAAACAAGCCACATCTACCTTACCCCTCCAGGCTTAGCGTACTGTCACAGCACCCCGTGATGATGCTAGACCAGAATTGGATCGGTCGTCTCATGCCCACTTCGACTCTCTCCCAAACAAAATAGCAGTTGGATCGAGTTGTTTGTGCTCTGAAACACACTAGACCACAATAAAGCAAAACAGGCTGTTCACTTCGACTGTGTGATAAGTCAGAGATGCTGCCGACGTGTACCCGTTGCAGAAGCCGGAGGATCAAGGTACCTACCTTCCCTTATCGCAATTATCATCAAATAGTAGACTAAGGCACGTTCCTGCAGTGCGACTCCTTGCTTCCAGCGTGCGCCAACTGCTCTAAGCATGATGTTGAATGTACCTTTCGAGATGAAGCTTTGCAAGCAGATGTTACCCGAGGGTCAGCAGGACGGCGTCCCACACTCAATCATCCATAGGCTCATCAATTCACAGCTATCTCAAGACATTGCAGGATAGAATCGAGAAGCTGAACTCTGAGCTAGCGTTGAACTCTCAAATCTCTTCAAGGTGAAAGGACGTCGTTGCCAGTATTATCTGCCCGAAGCTAATCTGACTATGGAGGGCGGAAGTGGCCTTACAGAGAGGTCTCCTGATGGCATGTCAACACGGCCTTCCTTGGTCTCTTCCTTCATCCTTATGCCTAAATCTGGTAGAGATATGTACCTAGATCTTTCACTCTCATCACGTCTTGTCGAGGTCACACTCGAGGTACTTTCACAACATCACAAAACAAATGACTGGAGGACTATTGATAAAGAAAGTGACCCGTTACCAGATATCCCGCACCTTGACAGGTCCATGCTTACACCTGGCGTGGTGCGCGGGCTTCTGAAAGACTACCATCGCTTCGTTCGACCAAAATATGATATCGTGGAGCTTGATATTCTGAGCCATGACGGCATCCACCTACGGAAGCTCCCGGAAATGCGAAGGTTTCAAATACTGATGGCCTGTTCTATTTCCGCCGCCCAAAAAACGTACAAATCTCCAAATTGGAAGCCGTTCGCCCATACGTGTCGTGAGTGGGCTAATGACTTCATCGCCCCAATCATTTGTGCTGCGGACGCAGATTCTATGAAAGTTATCCTACTACTTCTCGTATATGAACTGGCCGATCCAACTCGCGGCATCATCTGGGAACTCCTCGATGTTGCGCGAAGAACATGCTTGCAGCTAGGCTGGAACCGAACCGCGTCGAACTCCAACGACTTCACTAGTAATGAGGAATCGGTTTCAGCTGATCCTGTGAGAACCCATCTCATGTGCGTACTTAGGGAGATTGAAGGGTGGGCACAGCACTGAATTCATTAGTCCTTCTTGGCTCATCTTTTGTAGGTCACTACGAACGGTATCCAATCGGCCAATCTTGTTGATCGAAGATATGTCATATTGCGCACCGGAAAAGGATATATCTTCTATCTTATACAACAAACTATTCCACGCAACCTACGGTACTAGTCGAATTGGTGATGCCGAAAGCTGCCCTTTTGTTGGTGAAGTCTCAGGGCTGCTTGATAGGGCCGATGTTATTGCAGATGCTAGCCCAGCATCCCAGGAAATCTGGCTTGTCCTCCTAGCAACTTGTGTCAGGCATAAGCAGTGCGTGGCCTGCTATCAAGAACCGGACGACCAGCAGGGAAAGGGGATGAGAACATTAAGACGTAAGATTGTCAGGGCAGCGGCAGAACTCTTATCAAATACACACAGAGCAACCTTCATTGAGGAAGAGTTTGTATCACCGATTATAGCGTGCTCAAGGGCCCTTATATCTGGATGCTCACTAGCGACAGCTATAGTGAAGAGGTGGACATCCTTTCAGTCGCACTTCAGAGACTTGATTCTATGCAGCGAAATCCTAACCTTCTTCTCTTCTCATTGGAAGGGTGGCCAATCTTACCTTCATGCCTGGCAAACTATTATGGACCTTTTGCATAGCCATATGGAACATAGAAGTTGAATCAGGATAGTCAATTTGGCAAGCACGGTGTCATGCAAGTCATTGAGGCTTAAAACTATAGGAGAGAAAAATCTCATCTATGCTGAAAATTTCCGCAAAAAGGAGTTGAAATGCGGGTACTAGCAATTTCTCTGATCAACCGGAATGACACGTTGCTCCTCGAAGAATAAGAAGCCGGCCGCCTTCAACCCTGACAACCTTGCCGTCCATAAAAGCGCCCGCCTTGCTGATCAACCACAGCATGGTCCCTACCATGTCATCCTCGTTCCCTGCTCGGCCCGCTGGAGCTTCTGCCGCTAGGTGGAGATTTGAATTGGCATCTGTCGTGGTCATTCCGGAAGGCACAATGCCTGGTGAAATCCCGTTGACGCGAACTGTAAATGAAACTAGATGAGTGTCGCAGAAAAAATGATGGGTGGAGCTACGAGCTACAACATACTGTAGTAGTCTGCGAACTCAGCGGCCATGATCCGTACAAGGTGATCAACCGCTGCTTTAGACGTCTGATAGCAGGGCACAAATTGATGATTATGCACACTAGCTGGGCTGCTTAACATTAGCACGCAGCCTCGACCATCGCCTTTCGCGGCTGCTGTGCCCAGCAGGCGTACTAAACCCGCAGTCAGATAATATGGTGCGAGCACGTTCAAGCGAAAGGTTTGTTCCCAGCCTTGATAGGGGGCAGACATAGTCGCATCTTCAAGGTCACCCAGACTGCCACCAGGCTTATAAGTAACCTCGTTCATATAGCGTACTGCGGCGCAATGTATGAGAGCATCAAGTGAACCGCGTATTGATTTAATTGCGGCGACGACCGCTGTGACACCTGCTTCGCTGGAAAGGTCGCCATGTATTCTAGAATTGACTCAGAATAATGTAATGACCGGATATGCGTGGGGAACAGACGTAACTACAGAGGTCGGAGATAAGTCCCCAGATTGGCTGAGTTCTTGAAGCTCTGTCTTGGTCTCCTCCAGAGAACGCTCATTGACATCGATGAGAATGGTGTTGGCCCCATTCACTGTACAACCTCGTGCTAACATACGACCTATACCGCTACCTGATAGCAAGATGTCAATATTAAGCCAGTTGTTTTCCTTGGATGGTACTTCACCTGCACCGGTAATGGCGACCCAACGGTCTTTAACCTCGAAGAGCGCTTCCAGACGCAAGTTGCTTGCCATGACAATATTAAAGACTCAATATGAATGTTAGAACTCCAGTCGATGTATGGCAAATATGGTTGTCCTTATTTCAGAGGGGGATGGAAATTACGGAAGATGAGTTGAAAACCGCTCGCTATTCTCCGAGCTTTCCGCCCATTTCGACGCCTTCCTCCGACGCGCATATCGGAGTCAAAGAGTTGCTTCTCACATCTACAATGGCCAGATAGACCATGACATTGTCTAACATCTCAAAGCCATCACCATTGTCAATCATTTGGCATACCAGCAATTCCGTTCACTATGGTTGCTCTACTTGACTATTATTGGCCTTTTAACCTCGTCATTGTAAGCGTCGTGGCTGCAGGAGTGCTTACAATTGCGATTCTATCATATCTACGCTACCTCTATGTTGATTTCCCCAGTATTCAAGGTATTCCAGAAATCCCTGGAGGCGAGATCCTGGCAGGCCATCTGTACCAGCTGGGAAACGACCATGCTACCACCGCAGAACGCTGGTCACTGAAGTTTGGCTGGCCCGTCTTTCAGATCCGAATGGGACACCGACGAGCGGTGGTGATAAATTCGTTCAATGCCGCCCGGGACTGGATGATCAAAAACCAGTCCGCGACTTTGGACCGCCCATCGTTCTACACCTTCCATAAGGTAGTCTCTGCAACCTCGGGTATGTAAAATGGGTTAATGCATCCTTTCAATCCTAATGATATGCATAGCTGCCACGATCGGAACAAGCCCTTGGAATGAGCGGACGAAAAAGCAGCGACGAGTTGTCGGCTCCCTGACTACCGGCCCGGCTATCCAGAAGTTACGACCCATGTTAGATCTAGAGACGTTTTCGATGGTATCAGGAATCTATAATGACAGTGAGAACGGGCGCATTGGTATTGTTCCGCATATCTACCAGAAGCGCCTTGCGCTGAATATTATGATGATGTTCTGCTACGGGACACGATTCGAATCTATTACCGATCCTCTGCTGCTCCAGATTCTTGAAGACGCTAGCACTATTGCAAGGTGAAGTATTCGAGCTTTGCGAGCCCAGCACTGTCCTTCTAACTTGACTAGTTTCCGTTCTACCAACTCGAACCCACAAGACTTCATTCCTTACTTAAGATATTGGAGGAAGGAAGGAAGAACTGCCACAGCTCTGGAGGTCCGTGAACGTCGGGATAAATGGTTGGCCACAATGTTGGATGGCGCTCGCGAAAGTATCCGCCTGCGAACTGGAGATAGGAAATGTGTGGCCAAACTGTTGTTGACAGATGAGCAAGAAGGCCTGACAAAACGTAAGTACCTTTCTGTCTGAATATATAAGTTTCGGCTAATTATGGTAGTCGATGTCAAGACAATACTCGGCGGCCTCATGTCGGGAGGCTTCGAGACCGTGTTCTCGACCGCTATTATTGCAATCGGTGTCTTATCAACCCCACAGGGGCAGTATATACAAGAGAGGGCCTACGCAGATATCTTGAATGTCTACAAGTCCTCAGAAGATGCATTCGAACTTTGTGTATCTGAAGAGAAGTGTGCTTATGTCTCTTCTATTGTCAAGGAGACGCTGAGGTTTTACCCGCCACTCAAACTTCTTCCGGCGCGGCAATCCTTTAAAGAATTCATGTACCAGGAAGCTGTGATTCCAGAAGGTGTTCTCATCTACTTGAACGCGCAAGCTGCGAATCGTGGTATGGGTGTCCACCTTGTTTTGCTTTTGGGATATTCGACTAACCTATCAATCCCAGACCAGACAGTATATGGCCCGGATGCGGATGAATTTCGGCCAGATCGCTGGCTAAAGGCAGAGCATGATATTCCTCCGCCTTATCACTTTGCCTTCGGTGCAGGCTCCCGCATGTGTACCGCGGTAAAATTTTCAAACAGAGTCCTATATGCGACCATCCTTCGTCTCATTGTCTCATTCAGAATAGTGGAAGAGGAAGAATGTCCGCCGAATACCCACTATGTGCACTATAAGCGCGATCCGACGGCATCGAACGCCATCGCGTCGGATTTCAAGGTGCGGTTCATACCAAGGGACGAGAATGCATTGCAGCGGATGTTTGAGCGATCGCAAGAGCTGTGTGCAGCTACTATAGCGGAGACCGCTGGGACGGTTATGGGCATCCCATGAGCATAACAAGAAGCACGTTGTATCTAGAAACTACGAGAACAATTAGCAAGAGCAACCAGGCATTCGAATGACCATCTTTCTTCAGGGGCTCAGCCACTCAATTATAGAGGTCTTAAACCTGATCAAGTGGCGGAAACGTTGCCTCCAATGCGAGTTATGGAGTATTGGGTTGGGAATTAGGTCATCAATAATTCGGCATCTTTTGAATCACAGCTACATCGAGGACCCTGGGCTGATTATTACTCAGAATATCTCTACTCCCGATAACATAGACCCAGACAATACTAGAACATGCCCTTGGGTAAGCCGTCAATCTTCCACACTCTTCCATCTTTCATGACAAAGTCAACCTTCCTCAAAGCCCCCGGATCTTCCTCTGGATTGCCACACAAAGCAATGATATCCGCTTGAGTTCCCTCCTCGAACCATCCAAACCGTCTACCACACAGATCTCCTCCGCAAGCCTCCCAGCCACCGACAGTACAAGCCTCTAGAACCTCACTCAGTGGGATACCCGCTTGGATCATGAGCTCCAGCTCTCGAACATTCTCACCATGAGGATAGGTGCCAGTATCCCCACCACAAGCCAGCCTTACTCCCATCTCATGCGCCCTCTTGACCCCACTCAAGATCTGATCAAACCGTCTTGCGTGCAATCTCTCCGCTATAGCCAGCGTCGGCACCAGAATCACACCCTTCTTCACCATCTGCTCAAACATTTCATCTGTAGTATGATACGCATGCTCAATGGTGGACACTCCTGCCTCAATGGCAGCCATCGCACCCTCAAGCGTCGCACAGTGCGCTGAAACCGGACATCTAGCCAATTTCGCCTCTGCCACGATCGTCTGCATCTCTTCCTTCGAAAATACCATGTAATCCGGATTCGGTTCTTTAGGAGGATGTAGGACACCCGCAATATACGGCTGTTGTTGCGCAGGGGGATATCGCATGATTCTCCTTCGGTAATCGGCGAAGAACTTGATGATGTCTGCACCAGCAGCTATGCGGCGACGAACGGCCTGGCGACATGCTTCTACACCGTCGACTGCGTCGGCACTGGAGGGGAGGCAGTGACCCCCTGCGCTGTTTTCTGTCCGACATTCGAAGGATCCGGTGCTGGCGAGGACTTTGGTGGCTACAAACAGGCGGGGGCCGGGAGTGAGGCCTCGAGCGATGGTGTCGCGGATGTTGGCGTCGAAATCTTGCATTCCTTCGGAGCCGAGGTCTCTGTATGGGATGAGCTACTGTACCCTCTCCACTCAGGTGGGAGGAAGGCTACATTCATACCTATAGGTCGTGTACCCAGCTAGCAATGCTATGCGGCAGTGGTTAACTGCTCGGACCATGCGTTCTCCTATGCTCTCATCGCGCTTTTGCTGGAGTGCTCCTGCCTCGCTGATTTGCTCAGTTGCGATTATGGAACTTATTCAGATACTTTTGGGTGAACTTACTCGTACGAATGGAGGAAGATGTGCGTATGCGCGTCAACCAGTCCAGGCAACACATACTTTCCACTGAGATCTATATCGCCAGGCTGTAGGATCTCGGATAATGGTGTCTCCGCATCGCGTTCAAAGACACGCACAATGAGGCCACTGACAGGATCGACCGTGACAGAGACATTGGGACGGAATATCTTGAGCTTGGGATCGAACAAGGACGACGTATGAATGGTGAATTGCGACATAGTGAAGTTCACTGCTCCATGGGTTCCGATCTACCATCCAAAATCGATCAATTGTAGGAAGCACATGAGTCCAAGTTACTAAATGAGGGGTAATCGACATGAGGGGTATGCAATATCGCAGCACTGCGCAACCAGGATGGAGGCAGTCGCTGAATGCCGAGCTGACGTGGTCCCTCAAGCATCCCTGCAGCGGTGCTTGTTTATCGGCTATCTTCCGAAATCTGGGTGACCCCGCTCGAGAGATAGGGCTTCTCGGTGATAAGATAGCCCCCAGAGGGGTCGTATCCAGACCCGGCGATGGTCTCGGCTTAGCCCGTCTACTTCCTCATTTTAGCTGCGGTTCACCGATGACTCTTCATCGGTTGGAGCTCCTTTGCCCATGAGGGACCCAACTGAGATCATTTAACGAAGTCATTCGGATACATATCATAACATGTCAATGAGACAGATTTTACAGACTGCAACCAACATGACAACCACAAACAAGCACGTCGTCTTCGACGTCGTAGGTAAGCCAAGATACCATTAAGTCCCCAGTCAATTGTCGTTAACCGTCACCACCATCCTAGGAACCTGCGTCTCCTACGACGCCTTCTTTTCCGCCATCGACTCGCGTCTCGGCCCCAAGCTGCGCACCTACAACATCAACCCCCGCCTGTTCGGCTACGCGTGGATGGAAGCCGGCGAAAAAGAATACACCTACCTGAGTCTCTCAACCCACTACGTCAAATTCTTCGATGTTTTCCGCTCCATCTTCTACCGGACGCTCTGGCAAGCTGGGATTTTGAATCCACGAGAATTCGCCACCGATGAAGACCGCGAATATCTCCTTGCATCGTACCGCGGTTTGAAAGTCCGTCCGGGGCTAACAGAATGTTTCGGAAAGCTTAGAGATGAGGGGTTCACAGTTTGGGCTCTGACGTCGGGGGATACGTCCCGAGTGGCTGGATATCTTGCTGAAGGTGGAGTGAAATTTCCAGAGGAGAACTTTGTCTCCTGTGATACAATTGGGGTGGGTAAGCCGGCACCGGAGTCGTATCGATATTTGTTGGAGAAGTTTGAAGGAGAAGGGTCGTTGGCTTGGTTTGCGGCGGCGCATATGTGGGATGCGGCTGCGGCGAAGCGGTGCGGGTGAGTTGGTATATATGTTTGGGATGACTGGAAAATTTACTAATGTCAATTGTATAGATTCAAAGGGGCTTGGGTGTCTGTGTGGGAGAAGGAGACATGTTCAGATATCTTTGGGGAGATGGATGTGGAGGCGGATAGTTTGCCTTTGCTGGCGGAGGGGATTATTGCAGCTACTGCTGCGATGGAGACTAACTAGGAGGCTTAAAATTTTCTGGTATGATATGAAGATGCGAATAATGTGCCAATTGCTTCTTTGCTTATCCACTCCCCCAAGCAATAACCTGGTCGCTATACACTAGATCACATCTTAATCAATTCCACACCCTACTCACAGCTTACTCGAGGGATGCTCCTTTTCCAACCCCTCCAGAATCTCATTCTTCGTACTCTCCAACCTCTCCTTCGTCACCCGGAACACCGACGGTACATCCGTATCCTCAAAGGCAGCACCCTCCCTCACCATCCTCGCAACCGCTTTTGCACAAAGCAGAATCAGCGGCATGCCGTGTCCCGAGAAACCCGCCAGAACAGTTTGATTCGGCTTCCCAGGCACCTCACCCACATACGGCATGAAGTCGGAACTATACCCCATAACTGGAAACAGTCAGCAAATGCACTCCCCAGACCATGTCAGGAATAGAGGAAACATACTCCCCGTCCACACCCGATCCGTATACGCCTCACTTCCCTCCCACCCAACAAAATGTCTCTGCATCAACCCATCGAAGTATGTCTTGGCAGGCTCAATCAGCTTCCCATCGTCCACAACGTCGTACCAATGCTTCTTCTCCGCCCAGAACCTCGTCTTGGCCCCACCCACAACAATACTCCCGTCTGGTCTCGGGATCAAATAATCGTACATTGACGGCCCATATCGGATGCTATACGTTTGGGGTAAGAATGGCGCTACCTTGCCCTCTGGTACGACGATACGGCTGCAGATTCCGCGCACCGGGACGATGTGGTTCTTGAATTGTGGTGCCAGGTGGGATGTGTATGCGTTTGTCGCGAGAAGGAGTTTCTTCGCTTTTATGTTCCCCCTTTCGGTGTGGACTGCCCAGCGACCATCGGGTAGAGGGCTCTCATCGATAGATGTAACGGGGGTCATGGTTTGGAGGTTCGCACCGCGGTTCACGACTCCTTGGAGGAGATGCATTACCATCTTGTAGGGCCAGATGTGGCCTGCTGTGAAGGTGAAGCAGTTCAGGGCGCCTTTGATGCCGGATACCTGGTTATATAACCATTTAGTGATGTGATAAAGACAAGAGGTGAGGGAAGGAGGGAGGGATAAACGCACCCGCTCGGCATCCTTGCGCGGTGTAAAATGCACATCTTTGAGATCAGCAACGCCTGATTTGACTAATTCCGTGTACGCATCCTCAATCTCTCGCGCTAGTTTCTCGTCCAGTGTTGCATCGCATGCGCGGGTTAAAACGAAGTCGCAGTCAATGTTCTCGGTCTCGACTAGCTCCTTCACGGCGTGGACTTGGGAGGCTTCAAACTTGGCTACTTCCACTGCGGCTTCTACGCCGTACTTCTTGATGTGTTTGGGAAGATTGAGGTAGACGTCTGGCTTGAGGTGTCCCCCTAGTTTGGATGTTGGTTAGTGATGAGATTGGGGGAAGAGGCGATGATATTCATTCACCATTGCGACCCGTAGCTCCGGAACATGCTTCGCGTGCCTCGAGGATCACTACCGATGGTGGTGAGGGGTTGTCCTTGTAGAGGAAGTGTGCTAGGGCTGCTCCTGCGAAGCCGGCGCCAATGATGAGAATGTCGCATTCAGTAGGAAGGTCTGGGGTACTGCGGTGGCGGTCGAGGGGATGGGGCTGGGTGCGCCAGAAGGGGGTGGTGGCTTTGGGGACGGGAGCGGACATGGTTGTTTGCCAATGGATGGATGAATGGGAAGAGAAAACGCGCGTTGTCTCGCGCGGGGTTGAAGGATTATGCTTTGGGGGCTTGTTGTATATACGGCAGTAGGGTTGGATGGGGGCGGACAGATGGCCGATCTCTACTCCACTTTCGGCTTATCGCGGTGGGGAAGCTTTGTTGCTCGGGCTTCGCCGATTATCTATGGAAGTCGAACGTCAGTATCACCGTCGATGGAATGGAGGGGCTTTATGGATAGGCAGTCTTTAGTATGCATTAGGAATGGGCCATTCTCGGCCTTGACCGTTGACTAGCATGCCGTTGCTGTATGTTTCCGAACCGGCGTATTGAATGGTTGCTATGAAAAGATTAAGAAAGGCATTGGTGTAGACTGACTTCCTTATCGGATACCAGTTGCTGTTATCTGTTATCAACACTTGGGGGATTGTGCCATATGAACACCGCATCTAGATATCACGTCGAATCTGAAATTTTCTGTTCACTTGGATGATATTCACAGAACAGACAGGCATGCCTACTTTGAATGAGGACGTACCAGAAATGGACCGAAAGTCAACGGACAAGAATGATGCTGCTCTGGAAGCGACCACCAACGTTGAAGTTGGGGAGATTCTAGCGTCAGGTAAGCAATCATCATTGCTGCATATGTGAACACCGTTGACGTGAAGCAGATTACACAGAGCAACAGTACAAGAAACTGACACGGAAGATCGACTATTACCTCATGCCCATGATGTATGTGCCTACCGCCTCTAGGAAAGCCTATTCTAACTTTCCAGGTTCTTCTTCTATGGGATACAGCAAACAGACAAGACTTCAACGAGTATTCAGGCAGTAAGTATCATAGACTAGGAGATAAATGCGTATGCTGACAATCCCAGTTATTTGGAATGGAGGATGAGTTGAAATTACATGGCCAACAGTATCAATGGCTGACCACAATGTAAGTGTAAACCACCCGGAACATGAATTGCATTGACTGTCCCTACAGTTTCTATCTCACATATCTCATCGGGGAATTTCCCTCTGTATATCTTCTGCAGAGGTTCAATGGTGGCCTTGTCCTCTCCATCTATATGACATGCTGGGGTAAGCTATGCTTTCTACGACTACCCTACGCGGAACTATAAATAACCTTTTCAGGGATATGCCTCATCTGTATCAGCGCCGTACAAAACTGGTCTCAATTGATGGCACTCCGCGCCCTTCAAGGGTTCTTTGAGAGCAATATATCCCCCGGCTTCCTCCTCATTACTGGTCTCTGGTACCGGACCGAAGAACACGCCAACCGCTCCCTCTTCTGGCAGTCATCCGAGGGCTTCTTCTCCATTGTCTGCAACCTGATCTTATACGCCATCGCGCGACATGTTGAAGCCCATGGCGGTATAGCAGCTTGGCGATGCATCTCCTTATTTCTGGGCTCTCTTACCCTGGCCGGCGCAGTAGCCGCCTTCTTCCTGCTCGGTTGCCCGCATGAAGTGCGGTGGTTGAATGATGATGAGAAACGCATGGCGTAAGTTATCATCCCATATTTATCGAAAGCAGACTACTCACTATCATAGAACCGCCCGCACACTGAAGAACCAGACAGGCCAGGATACTACAGGTAAACAGTGGTCCTGGCCACAAGTCTATGAAGCCTTTAAAGACCCTCAATTATACTTTTCATTTGCCAATTCTTTCCTTGCAAATATCCCCAACGGGTCAGTCTACACACAGTTCCTCTTTGACCTGATCAGTAATTAATCCGCAATTAAACACAGCGGCATCACGACTTTCAGCTCCCTCATGTACGAGACATTTGGCTTTAACGACTGGCAATCCATGCTCTACGGCTGTCCCCGGAACGGTACGATTTGTATCTTTGAATTGAGAAATTAGTGCTAAATCTCTCTGTCGCTCCAGCTATCTACGTAGTCGTCTTCCTCATCGTTGGCCTGTACACCCGCAAGTTCCAGAACCAGCGCATGTGGGTAATGATCGCCAGCTGCATCATTCCCTTTATCGGCCTCCTGGTGATGTCGCTCCTCCCAAACACACCCGAGTACAAGTGGATTAAGTGGGGGATGTACATCATGACAGTTGTCTTTTCTCTCGCTATTTTTCTAGGTTGGAGCTTGAGTACGTACTCCATTTTCCCTACCCGTATGTTATAC